AGGCTTGGCGCGGCGGCTGGATCGTCGATGCGAGGGCGCTGCCTAACCAAATTACTCTCTCAGATTGCCTGGGTGCAACCCAGGCCACCTTCTGCCCAAACAATGTATATCTCAATGGTTGGCGGTGTGGCTGACTGAGATCAGGCTGCGACGGCCCATCGAACTAGCATGGCCGAGAGCAGTGGCACACCTGCGTTCTCTTCCTCAGGGTCAGCGGGCGCGGCACGTGCGAGGCCCCATGACCACGGCGATCCTGCACTTGCTGGATGCGGGCTGGTCGCCCAATCCACCCGCCGACTGGGGCGCGCGAGTGACGGCGCCGCCGAAGTTCACGCATGGCAGTTCGACAGCAGCGACTTCGGGGCGCTGGGCCAGGCAGCCCCGTTACTGGCGGAGTTGGAGCGGACGCACGAGCTGAAGCAGTGGAAGGACGCATCTTCCTTGTTCTGCGGAGCTGGGCTCGAAGGAGGCGCTGACATGACCTCCTTGAGAGCCATGGTGGCGGATTTGTTGCATGCGAGGAAGGGCAGGCAGCTGTCCGAGTTACTGGTGACAGTGGCCACAGGAGGGTGGTGGCCGAAAGTTCGAAGTCAGGAAGCTGGGCTACGAGCTGATGATCGGTGCGATCGGTGTGGCACGGAGCAGGACACACCGTTGCACAGATGTTGGACGTGTTCCAATAATCAGGGGTCGCGTGCATTCGACGAATCTAACGATTTACTTCCGCGTGCAGTGAGTGAATCCGAAGTTTTTCCTTGTTTCTGGATGCGGGGGCTCATCCCTTCCGCTTGGACCTCCATTCAGCCCCCTCCGTTTGTTGCGTTTTTTTTTTTTTTTTTTTTTTTTTTTTTTTTTTTTTTTTTTTTTTTTTTTTTTTTTTCTGGTGGCCGTCTCGGGAACGATGGTTTCGGGGCTGGCTGTCTTGGGACTGGGAAGGCTCTGGAGCCCCTGGTAGTTTTCGGAGATGCTTCTGGGGGTCGCGACACCCTCGAATCTAGGCTCAGGCGGTTTGGTATAGGACTCGTCACTTTCACTAGGTATGATCCGTTGGAGCCGGGGCCTTTCCTCATGGGGCCCCTCACAGGAACGGCACAGACCGCTCCTCGAGGCGAACTTAGGGCGTTTGAATGGGCCCTGCGTTTCAGCGTAGGCGAACTGTTGTATGTTACGGATTGTGACGAAGTCGCTAGAGGATGGTACAGCGAGTTGCTTCGCAGGCCTCAAGGCCCCCAGTCAGACATATGGCGCGACATCGGTAAGCTACTGATCTCACAGGGTAGAGCTCCTGCGTGTATAGTTGTTGTTCAGATACCGTCTCATGGCTGAAGTGCTGGCCCGTGGTCTCCCCTCGTGGTTAGTGCTAGGTAACTCGTGTGTGGATGAGATCGCGGGAGTGGCAGCGACTCTTGCGCGTGCTTCTCCTGAGGATCGTCATGAGATTCATGAGGTCGAGCATCGGGCCCGACTTGTTCGGAGGAGGTTGCTGCGTGTCGGCTTAGACACCACTCGAGCGTCTCAGCTTTCTGGTGCCCAGAGGGTGCGAGGTGCTGGTAGAGCCCCTCCCCCTCCTCCCCCTCCTCCCCCTTTAGCTCTTGCACGCTTCGCGTCTGCACATACCCTGACCGGAAACGGGAGGGCGTGTAGCGTGTGTAAAGGCTCTGCGACCAATGCTGTGGTATCCGAATGGCTAAAAAGTGAATGCTTCCAACTCCAGCATGACAACAGTGAGCTTTGTCGTGTTCCTAGGGGACGGCGTTTACACTTAGCTGGTGGCTGGACTCATCCCTCACAAGCCTTGACCTATCATAAAGACCTTAAAATCTAGTTTTGCCGCACGTGTGGGTTCTTCGGCCAGGCTCAGCTAAGAGGCCTGGGAGAACCGTGCAAGCTGCCGATTTCGAAGGCCAGGCGCGAGTACCTTGACAGGATTAATCGCGGCCTGTTTCCGAAGTGCTGAGCATTTAAGCCTGGTTATCACTACGTGATGGCGGAAATCCTGGAAATCCTCCTCCTCCTCTTTTTGACTGGGCTGCTCTGCGAGCGGGCCTCGGGGCCACGTACTTACCTCCCTGCCACGGTGACTGCTCGAGACAACGGCCCAAACGCGCCACGCGCCCGCGCGCAACACGGCCGCACAACAAAACCCGCCATGCGCCGCTCGCCCGCCACACAACGCTTGCGCCGCACGGCCACGCGGACATGGCCACAACTTGCCGCAGACATCGCCACGGGGGCGCAACCCCCGGCCTCACCCGAGTGGGCGGCGAGCGGAGGATGGGGCCTCGGGACCCCGAGCTGGGGGGCCAAGCAAGGGGGGGAACCCAGGTCGCAAACCCCAGATCGACCCCCCCACGTGGAGGCGCGACCCCATCCCGCTACAACTTATAGCCCGCCGATGCAGCGGCGCCGACCGCCCTACCGGCTTCACCAGCAGGAAACCCAGACGATTCCCGAGTCGTTAACGGGGCCCCTGCAATCCAAGCAGGGGGGGGCCCTACTCCTTCTCCTCCTCCTGTTCCTCCCCCTTCTCTTCCTCCTCCTCCTCGTCCTTCCTCCTCTCTCCCTCCTCCTCCTCCTCCTCCTCCTCCTCCTCCTCCTCCTCCTCCCTCATCCTCCTCCTCCTGCTCCTCCTCCTCCTCTCTTCTCCCCCCTCCTCCTCCTCCTCCTCCTCGTCCTCCTCCTCCTCCTCCTCCTCGTCCTCGTCCTCCTCCTCCTCCTCCTCCACCTCTTCCCCCTCCTCCTCCTCCTCCCTCCTCCTCCTCCTCCGCTCCTCCCCCTCCTCATCCTCTTCCTCCCCCTCCTCCTCCTCCTTCTCCTCCTCCTGCTCCTCCCGCTCCTCCTGCTCCTCCTTCTTCTCCTGTTCCTGCTGCTCCTCCTCCTCCTCCTCCTCCGCCTCCTCCTCCTCCTCCTCCTCCTGTTGCTCCTCTTTCTCCTCCTCCTCCTCCTCCTCCTTCTCCTCCTTATCGTCATCATCCACATCATCCTCATCCTCAACCTCCTCCTCCTCCTCCTCATCATCATCATCATCGTCATCACCAACATCATCAGCATCATCATTAGCATCAGCATGTTCACCATCATCATCATCATCAGCATCATCAGCATCAGCATCAGCATCAGCATCATCAGCATCATCATCATCAGTAGCATCAGCATCATCAACAACATGGCCATCACCATCACATTCACCATTCCCCATCACCATCAGCGTCATCAACATCTCATCAACGTCGTCAGCGTCAGCATCGCAAACATTTTCTCATTAGAATCACCATCATCATAATCATCATCAACATCATCATCATCCTCGCCATCATCCGCGTAAGCAGCATCAGCATCATCATCATCATCATCATCATCAGCATCATCATCAGAAACCAATCAACGCGACCACCACCACCGGCATCATCAACACCATCATCACCATCACCACCATCAACAACATCACCATCATAATCGTCGTCATCATCATCACCATCATCACCATATCATCACCATCATCATCATCATCAGCATCAGCATCAGCATCATCATCGGCATCGGCATCGGCATCGGCATCGGCATCGGCATCGGCATCGGCATCAGCATCAGCATCAGCATCCTCATCATCCTCATCATCCTCATCATCCTCATCATCCTCATCATCCTCATCATCCTCATCAGCATCATCATCATCATCATCATCATCATCACCATCATATTCATCATCATCTTCATCTTCATCATCATCTTCATCTTCATCATCCGCTTCCTTTTCCTCCGTGTCCCCCTCCACCTCTCGCTGTTCTGCCTCCTTTCCTCCTCCTTATCCTTTTGCCCTCCTTCTCTCCTCCTCCCTTCGTTCTTCTCCCCTTCCAGCTCCTCCCCCCCACCTTTCCTGCTCGTCCACAGTAGTGGCGGGACTGCGCATGCGCGTAACAACATGCATGCTGGTGCGCACGCAGAACTCGCGTGCTGGCCCGTACATCTACCCACATCTTGACACCGCGGCGACTGCCCACGCGTGCGAATTACCCTTGCTCCGACAGACGCACGTTGGCGGCGCGCAACATGGGGTAGGGGGAGGGGGGAGGGCTTCTTGAAAAAAGCTGCTTCTTAGAAGCCTTCCCCCCTCCCCAAATACCCGTCTGCACGTGGCTCGGGAGCGGCCAAGAGGGGGGTGTCCAAAAGGGGGGGGGGCAAATCATGACCGGCGGCATGTGCGCGGCCCAGCGGGGGGGCCTGGGACGTAGTGAAATGAGACGAGGCGCCATGAAATCTGGGGACATATCATGGCCCACGCCATGATACCCCCCCCCCCTAGTCATCACCCCCCTCTTTGCCGCCCCCAAGTGGCTGACCACGGGCAATCACGCCCGGTCGGGAACTTCTGTTTAGCGTGTCGCGGCGGCGGCCCCAGCAACCACGCCATGCCTTGCAAGGCGGCGGCGTGCCGCCGCGCTCCGCGGGGAGGGGGGCCTTCGGAGAGCTCGCTGCGTTGGCGCCTTGGAGACACCGGGAGCGGTTGGCGTGCCGCGCTGCAGCGTGCTGGGCCAGAGCCGGCGGCGCCGACACGCCACGCACAGATCCCTGACCGCATTCGTGTGTCAGCCAGGGCGTGTCTGCCCTGCCTGTCAGAGAGCCACGCGGAAGCAGGAATGGCTGCCCCAGTGTGAGGTGGGCGACGCTGCTGGGACGCTGGCGTCGGTAATCGAAACCACGGGGACGCTTGGTGCCGCAGTGCCGATACCGATACACAACCCGCATCCACCAGACGCAACGTCGATTCTGCCGAGGGTGCTGTTGAGAAGTTATGCCTTTCTGTGGGGCATAGCATTAGTTCGGGCACGTTCCCCCATACAGGGGGATCTTGGGCGAAACATCAGAAATACCCAAACAATATAACAAACATATTCAAACAATGCTCAAAAATGGTCCACGGACTATTTTTCGGCTATTGTTGGATATTCTTCCTGTGGAGGGACAGGCCCGACTTAAGCATAGGAGGCGGCGGTCGCAGCCTATCGGTGCGCTCCTCGCGCGTCAGCGCTGGCGCCGCCGTCCATCTCGTCCGCATCCTCTTCCTCGTCTTCCTGCCAGCGCATCACTCTGCTCGGTATGGGCTTGTGCAAGGTGCTCGTAGAGAAGCTTGAAATAATTACTCCCACCCTTACCTCTTCCGCCTCCTCCTCCTCCTCCACTTCGTCACCACCGCCACCCCATCCTACTCGCGATCGGAGAAACGGTGACCGAATTTGTGCCCAGCCAGAAAGAGCGGAACGTCTGGGTTGGGACGGTGACCATGGCAAGCGGGTCGCTAAAGAGGAGGGGAAATCCGCCGACTCCGCTTGCCGTGGGTGAGAAGGCGTGTGAGATGATTGGCTGTCCCCCTCCTCCATTTCCCCCTCCCCCGGGGTCCAAAATCTGATTTGACGGGGAGCGGGGGGGGAGGGCTATCCTGGATCGCCGGCGCACTCCAGGAGACTCCGGAGCTTCCAAATATGCCTTCCGTGGCCTGAAACAGATTCCAAGACGGTCCCACATCGCTGAACGATTGGCCCAAGCCGCTTACGATGGCTCTAAGACGCCCAAAGGCGCCTTCAAGACGCCCCAAGAGCCTTCCCAAGAGGGCCCAGAGAAGCAAACATCAATGGTTTTCCTTGGTTTTTGAATGATGGTCGCGTTCTCGCCTGGTCTGTTTTCCGACGCTCCAAGACGGCCCGAGAGGCTCCCAAGAGGCCCCAAGACAGCCCAAGAGGCCTCCAAAAGGGTTCCAAGACGGCCTGAGAGCGCCCCTTGGACGGCCCAAGCAGCGCCCAAAACGGCCCAAGAGGGCTCCAAGATGGCCCCAAAAAGGGCCCAAAATAAAGACCACGAGCCGAAAATCCCAGCCTTCCGCCACAAAAGGCCTCCAGGAGGCCCAAGTGGCCTTCGAGACGGCCCAAGAGCCTTTCCAAGAAGGCTCCGAGAGGCAACAATCAATGGTTTTCCTAAGCTTTTTCAATGTTTCTGGGGTTATCGCCTTCTCGAACTTCCAACGCTACAAGACGGCCCAAGAGGCCACGTAGACCGCCCCAAAACTGCCCAAGAGGCCCCTGCGAGGGCCCGAGGACGGCCCAAGTTGATTCCAAGACGGCCCAAAAGAGTGGCCCAAGACGTCCAAATGTCGCCCCAAGAGGGCCCCAAGAGGGGCAAAGAGGGAGAACACGAACCGAACATCCTATCTCCCCCCAAGAGGCCCCCCAAAGGCTCCAATAAGACCCTAAGCGGCCCAAAAGAAGCCCCCAATAAGCCCCAAGAGGCCTACAAGATAACCCCCTCACGGGCCCCAGCTTCGAGCCTGCCTCCAGGAGGCTCCGCCGGGCCCCCAAACAGCTCCCAAGACGCCCACAAGAGTCCCCCAGATAGTGCCCAAGAAGCCCACGACGCCTCAACCATGGACTCCCCGCCCCTCCTGGGGGTCGGCGGAAAGGCTGAAGCCTTTTTGAAAAGGAAAGGACGGGGAGGAGGACGAGGAGGATGGAGTACAGTCGGAGGGAACGAAAGGGGGGGAGAGCAAAGGGCAGGGGAGAGAATCAGCTCACGTAGCTGATTTTCCCAGCGCCTCCCGGCGCCGGGAGGCGCTCATGTGTCGAGGAATGGGCTCGGCGGCGGGCCGAAACCAGCTGCATGCAGCAGATTTCGTACCCCCCCCTTTCCCAATCCCCCCCTGTCGCTCGGCCCGAAACGGGATGATGAGGAGGAGCCCGGCAAGCCCACAATATCCGCCACCGTGCTGCCAAGCACTGGGTGGAGTGCCCCCATGTCCCTCACAGCGGGGACGCGGCCGAGACCCTCGCAGGACACCCGGCCCTGAAACCCAGGGCATCCTGGGCACAGCACGACAAAAATATCGGAGGCAGTTACAGTCGGGCCGTTGACCTAAGGAAGCCTGAAAAGGAACGAGGCCCCTGTTTTTCATAAGTTGTTGAACTTCGATTTCCCATCGAAAACCTAAGGCAAGGTGCGAAACAATTAAGGAGCACGGAGCACCTCCCCAACGAAAAGGGTTCCTTCTTCAGCGCCTCGACTGTGCTGCGCGTCGCTGGAATTGAAGATACCCCGGCGAAGAGCACCGGGTGTCCCGGTGCGCGCCCACACTGCACGGGGCAATACCTCTGGAGGGGCCCACAGCCCAGGGCGAAGCTCTTCATTTAGGAAGGCACCAACTATACACCAACACCGATCCTGGCCAGGATCACCCTGGGCCCAGGAACGGTGTATACGCCCTCCTGCCTTGGGCACGAAGGCGTATACACCGATCCTGGGCCCAGGGTGATCCTGGGCCAGGATCGGTGTTGGTGTATAGTTGGTGCCCTCCGATCATTCGGCGGTTGACAAACCTCCCTTTCGTAAAAACCTTCCCTTAGTGAAAACGGCCTGGGACAAAACACAGACGGACCTGGACCCGCAAAAATGACGGCCGCGACGCCCTCTCGCGAACCGAAGACGGCCAATTCCTCAATCGACGTGTCAAGATAGGAGGTCTGTCCACCTCCGATTCATAAGGGGACCGTGCTCCTCGAGTGGAGGGGCGCTCCCGCGAGGCGTCGCGGGACCTCCCGGGGCTCGTCCCGCGGCCCGAGGGCGCGAGGACGGGCCGGGCCCAGGACGTCTTCGAGGCGGTCCGCCAGGGCCGCGAGGCGGCCCAAGAGCGCTTCCGGACGTGCCAACAGAGCCTCAAGACAGCTCAACAAGCCCTGGGTCGGGCATGTCCTCCTGCAGGGGGATTTCGGACGAAAAGCGAAAAAAAGACCCAACAGACATCGAACAAGTTCGAACATGGGCAAAAAATCGTCCCTCGACTTTTTTTCTTTTCTCTTTTGTATAAAAAAACAATATTTTTGAATAGTCCTCCTGCAGAGGGACGCGCCCGACTTGAAACGAGCCCCCAGGACGCCCACGAGCGTCCCAAGAGAACACCACCGAGAGAGGGCGCCGAGAGGCCCGCAGTGGGGGCCCCAGGCGGCCTCCGAAGAGGCCCCCCCCCCCCGTGGCCCCGACGGGGCCCCCAGGAGCGCTGCAAGGAGGCCTCCGCGAGGCACCCCGAGGGGCCCCTCGCAACCCAAGAGGAAGAGGAGGAGGAGGAGGAGGAGGACGAGGAGGAGAGGCCCTTCGCAACACAAGAGGCGGTCGTCCCCAAACGTGGTGGTGACAACGCCTGGCGGTGAGTCTCGGGCGATTTGGTGTCACCACCCGGATTGGGGACTCGTGCGGTTCTCCGAGGATGTTCTGGACACTGGTGGGTCCAGGAGTCACAAACCCCGGTGGTGACCCCGCGTCCCCAAACCCAGCGGTGACCTTTTTGGGGGATTCCAGGTCGCCACCTGGTATCTCACCACCTGGTTTGGGGGTTCCCAAGAGGCCCTCCTGTGTCTCCCGGAGACTTGGGCCGCGTGAGGCCCCACCTTCTGCCGCCCTTTTCTCGGCTGATGAAAGCTGTGCGCGTCCCGCAATAAGCTTTCGGCGGAAGAGGTTCGCTCTCGCCCCGCGGGTCAAACAAAAAGTGTCTCCGGGAGACTTCTGGACCACAGCCCTGCTAGTGAGGCGGGGTGGACCGAAAAAAAACACTCCACAATCTCGGCAAGCAGCCCTCCCTCCCGCTTGTCCGCCGCTTCTCCGTCTCCCAGGACACGCAGGAAGAACACGATGCATTTCTTGGCCTGCTCTCCGGCTCCACGTGGACTGCCGGACTACAGGCCGAAGCCACGATGGCAGCGGTTGCAGAAGACCCTGCGATGTTCTACTTCAAAGATCTCCCCCGTCGTCATACACTCCCCCGTGCATCTTCCTTTCTGTATGTGGAGTGCCACTTGGTCAAACCCGCCGCCGCGCATGGTCGTAGGCTAAAGGCCTCCTTGGTAAGTTGTTTGGTGTCTCATGGGAGGTCTGTCGGCAGTCTTGTGTCGTTCTTGGAGCCTCTATGGAGGCCTCTCGGTGCGTTTGGGGGGTGTTTGGGGGGTCCGTCGGGCATTCCTGGGGGCCTCTTGGAGGCCTCTTGGGGCCTTGCTGGCGATTTTGGGGCACGTCTTCAGGGCCAGGCTCGACATGTGAGTTTGGGTTCCCCCTCCTGCGCCCTTCTTGGGGCTCTCCTGGGGCGCTCTTGGGCTGCATCGGGTCCTTTTGGTCGTCTTGGGGGCCTGGCGGGTGCCTCTTGAGCCGTTTTGAAAGGGTTTTTGCGCGCTCTTGGGCTGTCTTGGGCAGTTTTGATCGCGAAAGTAGGTGAAAAGGTCGACGACGACGACGACGACGACGACGACGACAGCACCTCCCTATCCTCCTCCACCTGATATTCCTCATTACGCTCCTCTTCTTCTTCCTCGTCCTCCTCCTCCCCTTCGTGTTCCTCCGCCCTTATCCTTCTCCTTGGTTGACGGGGCTCATGGGGAGCATACACCCCAATCACAACGAATGCAACTTTTGCAAGTCGTGTCGACAAATCGTCTAGGGGACTTCCCTGGGGGTACTTTTTTATCCTGGGTCCGTTGTTGACGGTCCTGGGGCCCGAAACCGACTCCTGCAAGCCGAAAGCGACATCAAAAACGGAGACGGCTAAACAAACAAATCGACGAACAAAGTTGCATGACCTTTCCCATGCATGTTGGGCCTCATGGAATTGATTGAGGTCCAAGTGCCAGGCCAAGACTTCCGGGGGCTGTCGAGTACCTCCGGAGGCCTCTGAAGATCGGAGGCTGTCTTAAGGCCGTCTTGGGCTATAGTGGGGTCCTTTTGGGACCTGGTCTGTCCTCTTTTTCCATTCGTGCGCGCGTGTCTGGGTTACGAAGCCTCGCTGGCGAGGTGGTCGGCCGATCAACACAATCGACGCCGTACATCGCTGACGTCTCCCCGAACCTCTAGGGAATCGGCTGTAATGGCAGTGTCGGGCCCGAGCGCACTGGAGAGTCAGGCCGCGAAAAGGAGCGTCGTGACAGAGCAGAGCAGGCATGGAGCCTCCGCCCTTGCACAGCGCAGCGATGGATATGCATGCATACATGCATGCACTTGTGGCAGTGCGGGAAGGAGAAGAGCCAAGGCCGCGCTAACGGCGATGTTGGTTAACGGCGATGTTGGAAATCGGATTTTTGTCACACCGAGCTCGCGCACAACAAATTGTAGGAAATCACGAGCCACACTTCCCTACATCTCAAATGTGCGAATGTATCGAACGAGAACGACGCAGCGAATCGGTTTGGCCACACACCTACAATGCCGAAACCTACATCGCCGATGCCTACATTGCCGTCAGCGCCTCTACGGAAGAGGACGCGCGAAGGGAGAGGGGGGACCAGTAGCAGAAATACAGTCGTGCAAGTGGCGCACCTCTGCCGTAGGACGCCGACCCTGCCATTGGGCAGGGCGGGGGACAGGACGGATGGGGACGCGGGTGCAAATGGCCCGGTGCCGCTGAGCGGCAGTGCTGCGGGGCTGTGTGTTGGGTCGGCGCCCGACTTCGCAGCCTGGGGCCGACTGAAAGCAGGCGATCTCGGCGAGGCTCTGCGGGGAGCTCCGAGAGGGCTGGCATGCGGGGCGGAATACCAGCCACATGGCGCGGAGCAGGGCCACTGACTCCGAGTGGCCCTGCCGTCTAAACTGGCCAGGCAGCAAGCAGGCAGGCGCGGGCTGATGGTTGCGCAGGAGGAAGAGGATGGGGGGAGGAAGGAAGTTCACAGCGGAAGAAGAAGAAGAAGAAGCGGGCTCTGCGAGCTGGGAGCCCAGACATCGTGCCGACGCCGACGAATACATCTGACGCCCGGTTGCTCCAGGGCAGAACAAAATCAGGCGATCTGCACACCGTGAGACGAACGCTAGAAGGCTTCACCATCGAGCCCAATCCATGCGCCTCGCTCGTTCGCCGACTGGGAGGGCGATTCGTTTGCCGACTGGGAGGGCGATTCCGAGTCTAAGGGGATGAGGCAACGGGGAATCGTGTGGTAGACATTCCTTCCCATAAATAACTCCCCCCTGACCACTGGTCCTCCTCCTGATCCTCGCCCCTCCCCCTTCTCCTCCTTCACGTTCCCACCACCACCCCACTCCTCTCTCTCATAATCCTGACCATCATCCTCACCCACACGACCTCCAAAGCTGGACAACCCTATGCGACGACTGCAGCTGCAGGACCACCGTCTGCTGCACCACCACGCCATCGGTCTCAACTTAGGCGGTGACTTGTTCGCCGTCGACCTCTCGCAGGACCAGCGTTGGCTGGACGACAGCGTCTTTGAAGGAAGAACAAAACACATCAGCACAAACTTTCGACGGTCCGTGCGGACTGCTAGGATTTGCGCTGGGCCCCCCTCCAAGGGGCGCGGAGCGCGCCAGGGGGCGGCGCCGGAGGCGCCGCCAGGGGCGCACCCCGCGCGGCTCCGAGAAGTCCGCGCGGAGCGCCGAAAGTTTACGTTTATGTGTCTTTGCTCTTCTTCGAGCCGAAGTCGTCGTCGCGCGTCGTCGTCGTCCCGACCTCGTGGACGACGCCGTCGTTGCCGACCTCCCGCGTGGCTCGCGCGTGGCTCGCGCGTGGCTCGCGCTCGAGCGGCTCGTGGGCTCCGGCCTGCGGCCGCCGAGGCCTGCCGTGTGTCCCGAGGGCTCCTGCGCAGGGCTCGGCCTGAGCAGTGGTTTCCGCCCTCGTTTTGTGTTCGTTGTCTTACCAGCCTGGAACATACAGGACAATGTTCAATACATGGTATTCTTAAAGTAAAGGGTTTAAACAGGATTAATGTATAAATAATTTGTTGCATGAACTTATCGTTGTTTTTAATACACTGAATCCCTGCTCGTTTAATACATGATCCGCACGCGGAGCGTGTATTCAAAACGGCACTGTATCCCTATGTTCGGCATCGCCTCATCGCGATGCCAATCTCAAGGGTTCCCTTCGTTTTTCAGGGCGCATCCCCGAGATTGTCATCGCCTTCTGGCGCGTCAAGTCTCCGCGACAGGGAGAAGCTCGAGGCCGGTGGTTGTCCCTCGTGCCGTCTTCCTTTCGCCGTTGCCTCAAGACGAAAAAACGAAGCGAGAGGGGTCCACGAAATCGCCAAACAGGGCACCGTTCAGGTCGAGCCCTGCTTCTGGAGATACGCTGGCACACGCAACCTTCCGTCGTCTGCATCGCCGCGAATCGCACACCCATGGCATGGAGAAGTTGGCGCGCCTCCAGCGGGTCCAGTCTATCAGTGCTCCTCCTCCTCCTCCTTGCGATCCAGAAGGCCTGCTGCGATCACGGACCCTGCTGGAGCAGAGCTTGCAAACGGTGCCGTCCACTCTCGCCGTCGACGACTGCGTCGCGGAAGCCAAGGTGAGTGGCAACACTGCGAAGGCGCGCACATCTGGACCACATCATAGTGAGCTGAGAACGAGCACTCTCAGGCAAGACGCCCATGATGAGAGCAACGACGCCGACTAACGCCACAACAATGATCATCAACGCTGCAAGCCAGCAAAGTAAACGCACGTGCATTCGTTGGAATTCTCCGACAACGCCCCGACGGATGATGCCCAGACGAAAAGCTCCGAAATCGTCTGAGTGATATCCAGCCGCTGCAAGGGTATCTCCTCATGGCGCTGCACGACGAGGAGGCTCATCAGGTACAGCGAAATCATACAACAAGTTATAATACTTGTCACAGCCGCATCGTCGCCAGTTGTCATGTTGACTAAGACCAGAATGGCTTACAGGGTTAAACCTTTGGCGACTTCGACTCATGGCCAGAAATAGACTGTTGCCCTTGCGCTGCAGTCTGCAGTCTCGAAACACGCCTCGGACATCCCACATCGTCATCGACCATGGGCGATGTGGGAAACCATGGGAACTACAGAACTCGCAGTAACGAGCGCATTAATGAGCAGCACGATTGCGACCCATGGTTGCAGCCCTCGATGCTGCAGGCATGTGCAGCTGACAGCCCTGTGGATATCGATCGTGGTTGCTCCACTTGGGTGCAAGAAACCATCGATGAATATCAAGCCTCTCCTGAAAGATGTCCGCAAGCACGCGCACCAAATCTGTATGACTGTTCCAGCGGCAGATGCTAAACTAAGCCTCTTCAAAGAACATCGACACAAACGCCGCCTGGACGTAATCAAAGATGTCGCACTCTTAAAGCCGGGTGCGGTGGCTGCCAGTAACAATAAGATCCACGGCAGAAGCCACGACACCAGGAGCGACGTGACAAGTTGCTCTTCAAACATGCAAGCCAAGTCGAGCAAGTGTTCCAAATCCTCGAAAGAGAAGATTAGCAGACTAAGTCCCCAGGAATATCAACCAAGGAGGCAAACTTGTGGGAATACCTACGTGGCCAATAATGCCTACTACTTGCAATTGCTTGGCGATCTTGCTGGATACAATCTTGGCTACCTAGAGGTACTTCTGTGCACCGGCCGCAGGTACACGATTCGCGTGCATGACCCCAGCGAACAGCAATACGACCCAAACAATGCACGCACATGTAAGCGTGAAAGATCTGGCCCGCAGTGCCTGAGAAACACGAGTGGTCCGAAACGCATTTGTAAGTTGCATGCCTCCGAAACGCTGCCAAATTTACCACTTCTTCAGACCAGACGCCAGCTTTGAGTTGTGGGGGCAAGGTGATTGCGGACGAATCGCTCCAGCAGCAAATCCCGGCATCCTCGTCACATGGAGAGCAACTTCCCGCGACCCTATCGAGGAAGAAAGAATCGGCGCATCCGCGCCCGTCTGCGTAAGGAACTAGGTCCGAGAAGTTGCCGCCGTACTGCTCAAGAGCACAGACACATTGCCCTCCAAGGCCCGCAGCTCATAGGGCAGGTCCAGCAAACCGGACTGGCCCGCGGCGCTGCTGCGACGATGCAAGCGCTGGGCAGGAGCTTAGTGGGCCTTGGAAACGACAGGGCCGTTTTTTACCGGTTCCGTTTTGCCGTTCTTTTGCCGGTTCCGACGGCGTTTTTTTACCGGTTCCGTCGCAGTTTTTTGACCGGTTCCGGCTCCGGTTCCAATCCTGGAGCCGTTTTTTTGCCGTTTCCAGTCGCCATTTTTTTGCCGTTTCCATTTTCAAGGGACATTTTTCTGGAAACGGTGAAAAAACGGCCCTGCCGTTTCCGGGGCCCACAAAGGACAGGAGGCCTGCTGCGGCCCACGCGATCCCCACGAAGCCGTGGCCGCGGCGCGACATGGAGAGCGCCCGAGGGCGCGCGCGAGCCTGCGCTGGCCATTCGCGCAAAGCAGAGCTGCTTTTGTGAGCCAAAGTGGCTAGGGAGGGGGGCCTATTGGGCTGTCTTGGGCCGGCATCCGAGGCCTCCTGGGCCGCTGCGGGCGGTCTGAATCCGAGACGGGCGAGGACGCCAACATGTTTCAGAAACCGATTTGGCTTATGTGACTTGGGCCTCTTCGGGCCTGCCTGGAGAGCCTCTTGGAGGCCTTGTGGGCCGTCTTGGGGGCCTCTCGAGCCGTCTTGGAGCAATCTTGGGCCGTGTGGGAGCCATCTCGGGCCGTCGTGGAGGCATCGTGGTCGAACTTGGAGGCCTCTTGGACTCTGCTGGGCCGTTTTGGAGGCAATACCGGTTCGTCTTCGGGCCATCTTATCCGTCTTGGAGACCATCTTGTCCGCATTGGAAGTTGTCTTAGGGCTGGCTTGGACCGTTCTGGGGCCCTCTTGTGCCAGGTTGGGGCGGGGCGATCTTGTGCCATTTTGGACGCTGTGATGGCCCAGAAAGCGAATATGGCAACATGTGCGTTTTTCATTAAGGGATTTGGCGAATTTGGTTCCTTGGGGCCGTCTTGAGGGGCCTCCTGGGGCTCTCTTGGGCGTGCTGGGGCCCCTTCTTGGGTTGTCTTGAAGCCATCGTGAGCGGTCTTGGACCGCTCGTGCGGCGTCTTCGGCCCTGCGGGGCCGCTCTGGTCGCTTTGCCGTGCCTTCCTGAGCTGCTTGGAGCCGCCGGGGAGAAGGCTGGGAAGCTCCGCAGGGGGGTCGGAGGACCCCGAGGGGGTCCAACCCTCGGGTGCCAAAAAGAAGGGGGGAGCATCCGGGAGGGTGTGCCGGCCCGGGACCCGGGCCCCTGGCCCCCCGGCATATGATGTATGAGCAGGGGAGGGTGGATCAACACAATCAGTTGGCGGAGGGGGAGGGCGGGTGAGAGAAGGGAGAAGGAGGAGCAGCAGCAGGAGCTGCGGCAGGAGGAGGCACATCAGGGTGCAACGTCTTACGTTTACCAGTTCCGTAGCGAGGCCACCAAACTCATCTCTGCACGTTAATTCTCTCTCAGATGGAGTCCCGGTCCTGGGACTCGCCGCAGTCCTCCATCTCCACATCCTCAGGCCTAACTGGATCATCGTCTTCCTGCGGGTGCTGCAAGGATCAAGCGTCGTACCGCCCAGTCGCCAAGAACTTACACATACAGATGATACATGCACGTCGTTTTCAAAATGCCGAACAAACACCTCAGCCAGGAGAGGTCCATGCAAAATAACATGTCCAGTGCATTAACCGACCCCTGCCATAATTACCAAAAACGTGTAACGTTGTGTGCGATGCGCAGAACGCACATACACGAATGAGACCGCACACAACGATTGAACAAGCGCACTGCGTAATGCGACGTTGGCGATGGGATAGCGGACTACTCAGACTCTGCATCATGAAGATGGTGTGATGGGGCTTGTTGGTCGCGAAATCCAGAACCCTACTCAAAACACATCGCGGAAGACAGCGGCATCCGTGCACGCATTCTGAAATCATGTTTGAATATCATGTAATATCACGTCCTGTGCAGAGGTGAGGCCACTGTTCTTCACAACGGCTCAACGACCTGAAAGAGGTGCTTCGCCTGATGCCTGCGTGCGCGAATTGGAAAAATTCAGTTATATCGCTTTTTGAGCAGCAGGCTTGCACGACATGCGATTCAAAAGTCCGAACACCCGGACCAGTTGTTACAGCAGCTGTCCTGCTGCGTGCTCCGAAGTCGAGCGCATTTGAACGGCACCATCTGTCTGCTCCTACTTCTGCTCCTGCTTCCCCGCCCCCTCCTCATTCTCGCCCAGAACGTCTTGCTGCTGCAGCAGTTCCTCCTCTTTCTCCACCGCATCCTCTGTAGGTGCGGTGTGAGCGCACCCTGACAAAGGCAGCGGCCAACCGATCCCCGATACCCCCGCTGCGCGCGCAGTCATCGCAAGAAATCCCTGGCTGGAGCTCCAAGCAGGCCAGGCAAAGGATAACCTCGACTCGTCTCCGCCCCCATACACCCCTCCATAACGAAGGAGGAGATGAAGGAGGAGGTGTAGGAGGAGGTGGAAGCGTCTACACCTCCTCGCCCTCCACCCTCCTGCCTCTCCATGAGGAAGTGTCTATCGGAAGCCGGGCAAGGGCTGCTAAATCCGTGGCTGCTAAAATCGACCTCCGGGAAGTTGTCTTCGTCCTTCCGGGAAGAAGCCCGTTGACTGTTTCGCGTGCCGCGCCTCATTCCGGGAAGTTGTTTTTTCCTTCCGGGAGGGCCGTTTTAGCAGCCACGGTTTTAGCAGCCCTCGCCCAGCTTCCGAGTCTACACCTCCTCGCCCTCCACCCCCCTACCCTCTTCCCGACTTCCCCCGCTGCCCCCATGAGATCCGACGCTGCGAAACAGTCGCGGAACTGTCCGCGCGAGGGGGGCTCGCAGAATCATGGCCCGAGGCGCGCGCGCAGCCCGTGGGGTGCCACGAGCAGCGCATGGAAACGAGAAGACGGGGCCCCGAAATCCGCGTAGATATCATGCCCCCCCCCCTCCTCCTCCTCCTCTCTCTCTCTCTCTCTCTTCCTCTTCCCATCGCTACAATTTTCGACGCAAGTCTGCTTTCATTATCTCACTCGGTTGCCTATGGCGCAACTTCGAGTATGCCGACGCGTCCTTCAGGATGCATGGCCTTTGCTTGCTTGCTTGCGGCCATACGAGACCCCCCCTAGTCAACCCCCCCCCCTAGTCAATCCCCCCCATACGATACGCCCCCGACAGCCACGACATCGCGAGGACCGTCGACGGCATCTGTACGCGGGTCTGTGTCGATCCGAGGCGGTCCCCGGCCCGCAGCGGGGCAGAAACGTCCGTCGTGAGTTGCTCGCGACGCCCACGTCCGAGGGTCTTGAAGTGTGGGGGGGAGCGCCTGTAGTAGGAGCTCGACCATAAGAAGTCCAACCCTGTGACCCCAGGATGTCCATGGATGGCTGGCATGGGGGCCTCACGTCTTCCATCGCAGAACGATCGAAGCTAAAAAACCCAGGGCACCCTGGAGGCAAGCAGGGTGCTTCTTGGCATGGGCTTCCCCAGTAGAACCACGCCAATGCAGACTACGGTTGGGAACTTTCGCATGGCGTGCCGCGGCGGCGGCCCCGGCGTTTCGCTGTGAGGATGCGCGCGGCGAGCGTGCCGCTTCGCCACGCGGGGCGGGAGGCTGGGAACGGCTCGGGACGTTGATGCCTAGGGGCTGGGGCATGGTCAGCGCGTCGTCCCGAAGAGCGGTGGGCCAGAATCGGCAGGGAGGCTCGCTGAGCAAACGTTCCCGACCGTGCATCGACAAGCGCGTTCCACTACTCGCAAAGCGACTGCGTACTCGCAAATGGCCTAGATCCGTCGCGGGGGATTTGCGATATACTATAATACCGAGGTAAACACGCGTTTTTCGGCGAGTAGGCGCTTTGCGAGTAGTGGAACGCGCTCGGCAAGTGCACGCTGGACGAGGAGCGCTCCTCCAGGTCCTCGTCGCTGTCCGAGACGTCGGAGCCGAAGAGCTGCGGAGGCGAGCAGGGAGGGGCACGCAGAGGCCGCAGGCACAACAAACAAAAAACTCAGCTGCGCCAGCACGTCAACGGGATGATGGAGCTCGGTGAGCATGCAGGACTGGAGCGTGCCCGGGATGTCTTCCTCTTCTCTGTCTCTTCCCGCTTCGTTGTCTGCTTAGCTCCGTGCCCTCATAGATAGCTCACCCCCGTCGCACCCCGAGGCCGGTCGAAAGTGCGGGCCGGGCGATTCGTCAGAGACATCCTCACCATATATGGTCCTGTAGCTTGAAATTTGCAACAGCTTCGCGGATGGAGGGCGGCCCGCTGTCAAAATGTGGCTCTCGCCTGAGCGCTACGCACATTCGTTGTAAGTGTGCAAGAGTCTCACGGATGGAGGGCGGGTCCTTTCACAATGTGGTTCTCGCGGTATCGCCGCGCACATTCGTCTTAAGAGATCGCAGGAGTCCCAGGACAGGTGTTCTGGCACGACTCCAAATCGTCACGACGCAACAATAATAGTGATTCGCGGCGTTGAAGTCCCAAGAGTGCTGTTTCAGCACAATTCGGGATCTTCAAACGTTTGCCTTCCAGCGGGGTATTTCATTCAATGAACATGAATCCGTGCAGGAACCCGTGAAGAGGGAACTTGGTCCACGCAGGAGAGGCCCGCCTGTGTGGACAGGGCCAGCTGCTCCGAAAACACCAGCAGGAGCCTCGCGATAGAAGCACTACTTTTCCCTTGCGCAAGATTCGGAAGGATGGGAGTCTCGCTTGGAAAGTCTTCGCGGATCCCGAGGCGCACGGCATCGATACATGCGTTGTAGCCTTGTGTGTGTCACATGATGGCTGGTATACAGCAGCATTCTAAGGAAGCGCTGCTGAGATCAGTTCGGGGGAGCCTTGCGCGGAGGGGACGCACGCCTATCGGGACGTCGCCGGGGAGGGACAGCGCACATAGCATCCCGCACTCGCGGATGAGAGTGAGGGGGCGGGCGAGGGGTGGGGCGAGTGGGTCGTGGGGTGGGTCGCGGGTGGGTCGCGGGCGGGTCGCGGGGAGGGTCGCGGGTGTGTCGCGGGTGCGTCGCAAGCCAGGTCGCGGGTGGGTCGCGGGTGGGTGAGTCGCGGGTGGGTCGCGGGCGGGTCTTGGGGTGTGTCGCGGGTGTGTCGCGGGTGGGTTGCGGGGTGGGTCGCGGGTGGGTCGCGGGTGGGTCGCGGGTGTGTCGCGGGTGGGTCGCGGGTGTGTCTTGGGCCGGGTTGCGGGGGGAGGATGATAACAAACAACAGCAACAACAACAATTATGCTAAGACTGTTCGCTCTTACCTGCTCACGGGCCATTCAACACGTATATCCCAAACCTTCGATACCCGCCCTATTCGTCGTCGATCGTACCCCCTTTGGGGTATATCTCTTTCTTGCCTGCAACGTGTATTTCGCGCAGCCCCTACGGCAGGGGAAGAGAGGACAGATGGAAGGAAGGGACAAGGGGGAGGGAGAAGGATGGAGCACCGTGCAGAATAGCAGGAGGAGGGCTGGGAGCAGACAACACGTGGCAGAACCAGACGGGCTCATCGGGCGGGTAGACCTTAACGGGCGGCTCGGAAGGCGGGCCCAAGCGGCCAGGTCGAGCAGGTGGGCTGCTGAAGCGTGATTACTGCATGAGTCGCGATGAAGTCTCGAGCGATAGCGAGATTCCCAAGTAAATCTTGAGAAATCTATAGTGAGAGCGTGATCCCTGAATGCCGAGGGCGGGGCGTATGAATAAATTGCGAAGAAGTCCCACGCGAGAGCTTGCTTTCTGTATACATTGTCAGGAAGTGCCGCGCGAGAGAGCGATTTGGGAATCAAGTGTGAGTAAGTATGAGGCGGGCGCTGCTGTTGTTGTAAACGGGGGGCCAAGGGCGCAGTTTGGTGACACGCTTCGCTTTCCCTTGTAAAAGCCAGGGTGCGAGCACCAGGAGAATCACTTTAATAAAAAACACAATGGTTACCGGGCAGTGGGGATCAACAATAATAGTCCTTTAGAAATGAAGCTTCAATTAACCGCACCGCGGAACCTCACTTCAGCCACGCGCCCAGGGACAGTGAATGACCGTGCGGCCCCCTCACTCTGACGATAGGGGTCGCATGCACACAGGCATGCTGTCATGGGGGGGAGAAAGAATAACAATGTGATGGGTAGCTGCAGATGGAGCGTGGTTGTGGCAAACGTTGGGGCCAGATCGCCCGTCAGAGAGCCAAATACGTTCCCGCTGGAAACGCGCACTGGACAAAGCAGGTTCTGGAACCGCCATCAGTGCTCAACGCCATGCTCGAATGGAGAGCATGCACATCGGGACGTCGTCGGGGCAAAAGGGGGTAGTGCCCAGAAAGAGTGAATAAAGATGTGGGCAGGGGTGTGTGTGGCAGGAGCCAGTGCGACAACACTCTCCGGAAGGATCGGAGGCGGTCCAACTGGACGAACACACAGGACACATCTGTTGTTGCAATGCCGAGGCAAGACGAAACATACGCGAAGGGCGCGCGTGCATATCAAGATGTCGTCCAAGAAGCTGGACAAAAAAGGAGGGGGGAATCTCCTGATGCTGATGGTGACGATGATTCGAGAGAGAAGAAAGAGGAGGAGGAAGAGGATGATGATGATGATGATGATGAGGAGGAGGAGGAGGAGGAGGAGTGAAGAACGCAATACGCGTAAGCGGAAGGTCTGGCCAACTGGAAAAAGAGGAGGAGGAGTACGGATCGAGAACGGCAGGCTGGTCGGACCATGACCGCGAGCGGCTCAGTCGCCCGAGCTCTGCTGCGGAGGCGAGGGCGACAATGGCTGCCCGCGGCTGGGAGCCTGTGCTCTGGATGGCGCTGCGTCGCGGCCGCAGCCCGAAGGAATAAGGGGGAGGAGGGGAGAAACAGCAAGAGAAGAGTACAACCATGAGAACCAGGACCTCAGGAGGAGAAGCCAGGAATGAGGAAATGGAGGACAAAAGAGGAGGAGGAACTCCGAGGAGGGAGAGGAGGAGCAAGATGGCGAGAAGCAGGGAGGAGAAGGAGGATACTGCTGATGATGAGGAGTGAAGCATGAGTCACTGCTGGCTCCCCCTCGCGGGGGGCCAGCCTGCCACGCGTCGTCCTCGCCGGCGCCCCCGCCAGTGCGGAACACCGCGGGGCCGCTGCGCAGCTGCGAGAACAGGCGGCGGCCTCGGGTTGGCACGTTCATCACTGGGGCACTTCTCATCCTCCTCCTCCTCCTTTTTCTTCTCCTCCTCGGTCCTCCTCCTCCTCTTTCTCCTCGGTCCCTCTCTTTATGTTCCGCTCCTCCTCGAGCGTCGAAGGTCGAAATTGTTGGACTTTCGCGCTGCCCTGCCCCTCCTTCTTCCCTCTCCTCCCAAGAGAGCCCAGATTCGAATCGATATGTCAATTAGGCGATGGAAGTGGATCGAATCAGCGGAGATCGGCAGTCAAGTCGGGGAAGAGCCGAATCGGCGGAACCGGCATGATAGTCAAGCCTCCATCGAGAAACCGAAATCCAAATCGGCACCCGAAGCCGTCTCGGATCGGCACCGGCCGAAATCGAAACGAGATTGGCTCGGAGGAGTCGAATTGAGCCCTTTTTCCCCCGCCCGTCACTCCTTCCTCCCTGCCCCCCTTTCGTTCCGCCCATCCTCGCCTCCTCCTCCTCCTGCCAGACCCCCATCGGGGTGGTGGCGCTCGCGACTGGGCGGCCACGGCACCGGGGGACCTTTCGTGACATGGGCAATCCTAGCTGCTATATCCTCTCTCCTGCGTCCTGTGACCGTCGATTCACCGATCCTCCCTTGGACGTGGCCTGGGCCCCACTGGTTGATCTACCCCCGTTGGGCGGGGATGGAGGTTTCCTTGGGGGTTCGGAGGGTATGTCCCCAGCTGGGGTGGGTGGGATGGTGGGGATCGCGATGGGGATGGAGAAGGGAAGAAGGATCGGTTTGACGATACCGATCCTACCACCTATCTGGTCCCTCCGTCTTCCTTCCCCCATCGCTCTTGGCCCCTCCTAAGACTTCTTTCTCTCCCCTCCTCAATTCTCCCTCTACACCCTCGCTTTCTCCCTCTACACCCTCGCTTTCCCCCTCCCTCTTCCCTCGCCCCCCTCTCACCCTCCTCCTCTCTCCCGCCTCCCCATCCCTCCTCCTCCTCCTCCTCCTCCTCCTTTTCCTCCTCGCACGGAGCCTGATACAGCAAGTCCATCACATCCGATCGAGCGCCCACCGTGCAGTAGGAAGGATGCTGCCGACTCGGTCGGCGGGAAGTGGGCACCCATCCACAGCATGCAGATGTGCAAGAGGGTGGTGGCAACACGGCGGGGGCGCGGAGCGAAGAGTGGGCGGGGATAGCGAGAAGCCAGGTGCAAAGAAACATAGACATGTCCAGGCATAGCATGGTATTTAGATGCATAACAATGCGGGCGTATCCATACATGGGCAAGGTCACCAAGCCAATCAGGACAGCCGACCATGCATGGTGCGTGTTCTTGAAGCCTCCTATCAATGGCCCGTCCGCCAGTCCGCATTTGAGGACAACCCTGGCAAACGAAACCGACAACCTCGACAGATGATGGAAACTAGCACCAACAACAGCAAGGGTCTCGGCGAACGAGGGGAGACGCCAGGAGAGGGGGACAGAGATCGGGACCACACACGCTGCGCGATCGGGGAAACGCCCTCGGCAATGCTTTGCAGCGCAGGGAGAACGCCGCGTCATGTGATGAAGTGGTCTCGGCCAGCGCGGCTCAGAGAAGCGGTGGCAACGGCTTGGATGCTGAGGGCACGCGGGCCACCGCAGCCAGGCAGCTCGGCGTCACTGGGACGGGGAATGTCACAGCTTGGAGTCGTAATCTGCTCCGCAAACATGACTGGCTCTTGTCTGGCAAGCTCGGATGGGAGCGGCAGCAATTGCGATGTTTAGGGAACACGCGGCGATTCAACACTCGCAACTGAAAGCCGCGACCGAGCCAAGGCGCTCCTTGACCATCAAGTCTCGAAGCACGGTCCTGCCACGTGGCGACTGGAGATCTCCAGGGGTGGTGATCCGCGACAGGGCCCGAACAGATGCCGAGGTACTTGAGAGAGTCGCACATTTCAAAGGCCGCTCAGCTGGGCAGGCAGCTGGCGATCCAGCGCGCATACCTGCGAGCGAAAAAGGAGCGAAGCGAGCGGCCAGCGGCGCGATCTTGCACTTGGAGGTATTTCGCCCGAGTGCCGCGATCCCCTCTCGGCCGCGGCGAAGATCCTGAGCAGAATGCGGAGGTGGATGGTCTTTACGATGGCAGCCCAACGTCGTCGGCTGCGCCCAGGCCAGTCCAGCGTCGACTCTGGCGATCGAAACGCCCATGTCGGAGACGAAGCAGTCCGCCGCCAGCGCGAATTGTGTGCCCGGCGCAGGGCGCCCTTGGATTATGGCACAGCCCATATAAACGAAATACGCGAGCTGCCATGCGGGCGCCGCAGCACAAGACGTCGGCGCATGTGGCGCTAAACAGCACACTGGGCGGAACGAGAACGGACATCGCACCCAGCACGCGGTGGAACCATTGGCGACTGATGCGGGGGAAGGCCTGGCCACCACAAACGCGTGCAAAAGCGAGAACGCCAATCAAAGAACGAAAAAGATGTGGAACGCATCCTCGACTATCCGTCAATCTCGACAATGTTTTCAACATTCCCGGCCGTGCTGCATCCTCGTTGCAAGTTTGCGGAAATGCCATGCGTGTTTTGCTGATCTCCAATGACGCGACAGCAGCGGATATGTTGTTACCAGTGCGTTTCAGCACCGAAGGCCGAATACTATATGGTAGCTCCACGCGCGCATTTGTTCTGGAAGTGAAGGCCTCTAGTTCGCTGCGGAGCTATCGATGGTGCACTCGGCGCTGTCCATCCTGATTTCCGAGCGCCTGCATCGCTCTTGGATTTCTCTGTCGCTCGACTGGCTGGTTGAGCTTGCCAAGGGCGACCTGCTCGGCGGAGACTGACTCCATGATGTCTGCGTTGGTACCATCCATATGCCTGCGTAGCTCATCTGACTCAACATCAGCATGAGTAAGGGCGCGCTAGGGCGATCACGTGCCCTCGCGCGGTGAGCGCTGTCCTGGTTGCGCTTCGACATGTGAGCGCATCTCCCTGGCCAACCGTTCACGCCTGCCTCTGAAGTGTGAGACAAGGACAGCGAGGTGGAATGTCCGCACCTGATTGCACAGAGGTATGCTCACTGGTGTGTGTGTGTGTGTGTGCTGCCAGCTCAAGACAAATGTCGTGAACCAAACTGGCCCTGGACCTCCTCCTCCTGTTCCGTTCAATTGCTGCTTCGACGGCTCGGGGCGGCCTCTCGACCCGGACGTGGACAAAGACACAGACACACGCACTCATCGGATCGCGCAGTGTCCGTTCGCCCAGGCATCGCAGCAGAGGGGTAGCCGCGACCAGACGGACGGATGCCGCAGCACACGTGCCGCGACTTGCGCCGAGCGGGAGCAACGATCGCGCGAATGGTAGGCTTAGGTCGGGCGTTTCCCCCTGCAGGCGGATTTTCACCGAAAAATCAAAAGTAGTCAAAAAATATTCAAAAATAGTCAAACATAGTAAAACATCGTCCCCGCACTGTTTTTTGACGAATTTTGAATGGTTCCCCCTGTAGAGGGACAGGCCCGACTTAATGGTAGGCCAAGCGGAGAACACACCCGCAAGCCTCGCCTGGGCGGGACCGAGCTGTTGCGCCAAGATCGGCGGGGCCTGCTTCTGCAGCAGGGGGCACTTTGAGATGAAGGCTGTGGTGATCACCACACCAACAACGACCCGAACAGCACAGCGAGGAGCGCGTTTCCTTATTTCGGCGATACTGGGCATTAAGGGGGGGGGGGGGGCAGTGGGGGTATAATGTAACGCCTCCCCCCCGCCGAGCGCACGGCGGCAGTGCCCGGAGCGCCCCGGGGGGAGGGGCGTTACGTTATCCGGGGGGAATGAGAGGAGGCCTGGGGCTATAATGCCCACTATGCCCAAAACAATACAGAAACACGCTCGAGGTGACGAACATGCTTCCTGAGCCCCCTGGACGGCCGAAAGACTGTATCACCACCAGCTGTCCAAGGTCCGCGCGGATTTCTTGGATCGGTGCTACCCCACCCCCCGCACACACTTGAGTGTGCTGACTCAGGGGCTCTGGCGAGCGGGGTAAATCAGCAAGAGCAGGAGGGACAGAGGGAGGAAAGGAACGGAAGGAGGGGCAGGAGGAGGGGCAGGAGGAGCAGGGGGAGGAGCCACTCACATTGCTCAGTGGAGCCCCTGAGATAGCACAGTGGAGAACATCTACACACGCACAAACACTTGTTTTCCAAGGTCCGCTCGGATCTGACATCCTGCATGGGTCCGAGCAGCTGGGGTCGGAAGATCGCGCCGCATCGCCAACGCAACGGCGATGCAGGTGATGCGTCGGCGACGTCGGCGACGCATCGGCGACGTCGGCGTGGAGAAAATCAGGCTCCGCATCGAGGCGCACCGCCGATGCCTCGGCGATGCGGCACGATCCCTGGACCCCCGTCAGCTCGGACCCCGCCTGGGACGCCTGGAACCTCCTTGGTCGGCGCTGGGCGCCCCCCCCCCTCCCCGGGCGCGACGGGCGCGCAGAGAGGGGGGGCGCCAGAGGCCTTCTCCCCCCCCCCCCGCCCCACCCACCCACCCACCCACCCACCCACCCACCCCCCTCCCTCCCTCCCCACCCACCCACCCACCCCCCTCCCTCCCACCCTCCCTCCTCCCTCCCTCCCTCCCCTCCCCCCTCCCCTCACCTGCCCTCCCTCCCCGTCCCTCCACAATTACTCAATATGAATACTAATCTCCCTCTTCCCCTGATGACGGTTTGAAAGTGTCCGACCCCCCCCCCCCGCGTATTGTTTTTTACACAAAGGTTTCCCCGGAGTTGGGTTTTCGCTTGCATTTTTTTCAAAATGCTGCTCTCGCTGAGGCGCCGGCCTCATTTTCGGGCCCCGCTCGTTCCGAATCGTGCTCCCGCTGCAGCGCTGGCCTCATTTCCGTGCTTCCGCTCGTTCCGAATCGTGCTCCCGCTGCAGCGCTGGCCTCATTTCCGCGCTTCCGCTCGTTTCGACTCGTACTCCCGCTGCAGCGCTGGCGTCATTTCCCGTGCCATGCCACGGCATGCAATGCAATGCTAGGTTGACACTACGCTTTGCGGTGCTCTTCTACGCCATGCCATGCCGTGCTCTACAATGAATGCATCGCGTACCCTTTCGGGATCATTGCCCTGCTCGACATCCGACTGTGCGAGCATAGAGGGGATCTGCGCCATGGCAAGGGATGGGAGGGAGGGGTAGGATGCCAGACATGATGCGAGCGCACCTAGCTTGTCCCTTCTCCCCTCCCTCCCATCCCTCTCATCGCTGGCCGCCGCGCAGCTGCCCGAAGAGCGCGTGCGCCGCGGAGCGGCTGGACCCCGGCGGCTCCTCCGGCCTCCTCCGCCCCCGATCGGCGTGCGGCCGAGGCGGCGGCGGATGAGCGCAGGCAAGTTGTGCTCGTCGGACCCCCTGGGCAGGCGCGGGACCCGCCCTCCGCCCGTCCCTGCACGTCCCACTGGCACTGCTCCTCCTTATCCTGCTGTGATCGTTATTTCCTAAACTCCATATCTCCCCATCACCCATGTCTCTCCTTTGCGAACTCCCCCTCGTTCTCCTCGTCGCACCACCTGTCGTGTCGGTAATGGCGGGTCGGGCCTTTTCGCCTGACACCCCGTTACCGCTTGTGACCCTGAAGCCTGGCAAATATTCAGAAATATCGAGGGCGACCCGCTTTCAAAATGTGAGGTTCGCCGTGGCGCTGCGCACATCCGTGAGAACAGATTACGACAGCTGGAAGGATGAAGAGTGCGAGAGATGTTCAGCTTGCGTCTCTCGCCCTAGCGTCGTGCTCGATCTTTTCAATATCTGCCAGCAGTTGCAAAGACGGAGGTCTTTTGAATACAACCAATAGTTTGCCAACCGTTACAGCCAACCGTTATAACCAAAATTTTTGAATCATGGACGAAGTACACGGGCGGATAGCTCCTTTTCAATATTGGGAACGTCCTACCTGAGACACCTGGAGGAACTTCATTACTGTGGAAGGGCTATATGGGTGGAGTGCTGTAGGAGGCGCTCTCGCTGACACTTCCACAACTTCATGGTCCTACGTCTTCGCGTGCTCGTGGTACTTAGAGCTTGAGGGGTGCATTGCAGCAGCTCCTTCTCGCAATTGGGCTCTCACCCGAGTGGCATGCCCATGGGGCGGCCGTCTTTCGAGGATGGCTGCGTCTAGTGCAGCAGCATGGACCTCGGAGGCGGGGGCTGCGATGGGAGGGTGCGTCGCAGCAGGGCTGATGCATCCTGCGTTGGGTCCGGTGGTCAATCCTCTTCCTGGACGCCGTCCCCCCATGGGAGCCATCTGGCCTGATGCAGAGGCCTGGAACACAAACCCACGCGCACGGCCCATGCGACCAGAGCGTGCTTGGCCCAGGCAGGCGGACGCGGGCAGGAGGAGGAGAAGCAGAGGGGAGAATGGACAAGCTAGGTGCGCTCGCGTCATATCTGGCATCCTACCCCCCCCTCCCATCCCTTACCATGGCGTAGATCCCCCCTCTACTCGCACAGTCGGATGTCGAGCAGGGCAATGATCCCGAAAGGGTACGCGATGGAAACAGTGGGGGGTGACAAGCGCGGGGAGAGGGCGAATCTGGCCTCTTGGGCGGCGGCCAAGTGAGCCGCGTCGAACGAGCCATCGGGCCCCCTCCCCCCTTCTTGACGCGGGAAGCAGTGGTGGCACCACCCCTCCTGCTCGCTGCCTCCCTCCCTCTCCTCTCCCTGGGCATCGCTCGGACGTCCATCCCCTGTGCTTTTTTTTCGTCTTCGTGCGTGGTCTGTCGCCAGATCAGCAAGGAGGCTCCTCGATGGTCCCCGCCGAAGGAAAAATGCACACGTCCGAGCGATGCCAATCGGGAGCGGCCAAGAACGGGGTGTCCAAGAGGGGGGGGGGGGCAAATCATGACTGGCGGCATGTGCGCAGCCCAGCGGGGGGGCCAAGGACGTAATGAAATAAGAAGAGGCGCCATGAAATCTGAGGAACTATCATGCCCCCCGCCATGATATCCACCCCCCCCTAGTCATCACCCCCCTCTTTTCCGCCCCCGAGCCAAGCTCCTCCTGCGCCCTGCCTGCCGTCCCCGCCGGGCCCCCCTCGTTGGCCCGCCCCGCCCCGCCCCCGCCGGCCCTGGGCCTCCCGGCCTGTGGGCGCCCGTCGCCGTCCGCCTGCCTGCCTCCCCCGTCCTCGCCCCCTTCTCCGCGGGGCGGCGCGGCCTGCCCTTGGAGCAGCGCGGCGCATGCTCGGAGGGCACCCACTATACACCAACACCGATCCTGGCCAGGGTCACCCTGGGCCCAGGATCGGTGTATACGCCCTCCTGCCCTGCGCAAGAAGGCGTATGCACCGATCCTGGGCCCAGGGTGATCCTGGGCCAGGATCGGTGTTGGTGTATAGTTGGTGCCCTCCGAGCATGCACGTGCAGGCGCATCCCCGCGGAGCTCCGATCACGATGGCACCACCTGGCATTGGGACTGGAACGCGTTCCAACCATGGCCCAAGGGTGGCCCCACGATTCCCCACTCTGCTTCCCGATCGCCCAGGATAGCCCACCAAGTCCACAGGACGGCCCAAAGATGCTCTCAAGACGGGCCTCGGAGACCCCAAGATGGCCCCTAGATTGCCCAGACCCGCATATGGCCCGGGAGGTCCCAAGGTGCCCCCTCGGGAGGCCCAATGCTGGCCATTGGTATTGGCACCGAACGGACAGCGTTCACGCGCAGCCCCGCTTCTGGAGACTTGGCGGAGGGAAACGGCGAGGACAGCACACGGGCCGGACGGGAACTTCAGAGCATCCTTCTGCGCAGCTGGGGCGGGAGCTCTACCTATCCTTCCGTCGGGCGGCAGAGCATCATCCCAGACACGTGGCGAAGACGAAACACCGCCGCGCCGAAGCAGCGCTGCTGCGTTCGCGCGCAAGCTGCGCGGCGCTGCGTGCGAGGAATGCATTCGGTCCGCTCTCGCGAGGCTTCGCCGCCGCTGCCGCGTGCACGCGGCAGGGCGAGCGAAGCAGGCGCCGCGCCGATGCGGGAGCGCCACTTCCAGACGAAATCCAAGCGCGGAACGTGGGTCAGGGCGCCAGGTCGCTCGCTCGCTCGCGCCTTGCCGCCCCCAATCGACGTGGCGAGTGAGAAACGTGTCCGCGCCACGGCGCCGAAGCGCGGACGAATCTTCGCTTGCGTGATCAAAGGACGTACCCCTCGCGAGCGGAAGCGCAAGTCTCAGGACACACGAACGGGGCCAGATGAGCTCGGCATTTCGTCCTGTCGCGCGGGATGCACGCCGCGCCCCATTCCCGCCACGCACTTTGGAACGTCGACGCCCAAACGTCCAAAATGCAACTTTGTGTATTGCTTCTGTACAACGAATAAGCTGGAAAGGCCTGGGGCCGATCGCTATCGGCCGGCTAGGTGGCCCAGTCGGCTTATATAGTCGTAGAAAGGGCAGTAGGGGACGGGGGGGTAGGGAGCGGGGAGTGGGAGTGGAGGAGCATGAGGGGCGGAGGAAGAAGAAGAGTAGAAATGGGCGTGGGAACTATGCGCGGAAAGGGGGCAAACGACCAGGGAGGATACACACTGGGAAGGGGGGCCCTCCAAGGCAGGGGACGAGAAGCGAACGACTTGGATCGGCAGATGCTGCGAATCTTCGATCACATCAGAACGAGCACGGGGAACGAGTCCTGACGCGGCATGCGACTTGAAACAGCGCCAGCAAACCCGCTGGACCCCCTTGCGGGAGCCATTCGACTACCAGGGCAAGGCTTCAGCAACTGAGTGGCGAAGCTTCTATACGATGCAATGATGCAGGTCGAAATAGTGCACCCTCGAAGCTTCGCGACCTGGCAATGACCACTTCATAAGTAAATCATCAGTATTCTGAGACACAAAATTGCTCGGTCTGCTGATGAACCAAACTCAGAAATGCTAAACGCGCGCGCCCCCTCCCGCGAAAGCCCTGCTTTCTGACTCCCAGGCTACATCCTCGTAACTTTCGGGAGCCCTGCGGCCCGTACAACGGTACGATTTGCCTGTGTTCTCACTGCAATCATGAGTCGTAACAGGAGATGGTGCGACTATGTTAGAGCCACATTCCCTCGCCATGACGATGACCCTGATTTCCAGAGGCCACGATCTTGAAAATACAGATGGACCCGTCACCCCAAAGGTCACGATCCCACATATAAATACCCAACCGTCTTCGTGGCAACGACCCTTCGTACAAAAAGCTAGTGGGCCACTCCCCAAATCCTTGATCCCTTGGCAAAAACACGAAAGGCATGGAACATCGAAATAGCTTGTAAAATCCGTAACAGCAGGCGGTTGGCACTTCACCATGAACGCACGCGGGCTAGGAACAACGCGTGGTCTTTTGGATCGGGTGCTGCGCGGGGGCTACAAAAACTAGGTGGTGCGGGCTGCCAGGGCCCGCTTTTCTAGCCTTCGGTCGGGCCTGTCCCCCTACAGGGAGATCTTGGACGAACATTAAAAAATAGGCACGCAAGAATCAAACAATCAGGAACAAACGCCAACCACCATCGTCCCCAGACTATTTTTTTCCTATTTTTGAGCTGTCCTCCTGTAGAGGGGCAGGCCCGACTTCATTCTAGCCACCCTGAGTTGCGCCCCCGAGAGTCGGTTCCCCGACCCAGACCTGTGGAACGGCCCGGAGACCAGAGCCCCTCCTGAGCCCCCTCCTCCTCCTCCTCCTCCTCCTCCTCCTCCTCCTCCTCCTCCTCCTCCTCCCTCCTCCCTCCCAGAGGTCCTCCTCCTCCTCCCTCCTCCCTCCTCCCTCCCTCCTGAGCCCCCTCCTCCTCCTCTCCTCCTCCCTCCTCCCTCCTCCCTCCTCCCTCCTCCCTCCTCCCTCCCAGAGGTCCTCACGTCAGCGCCTTGACCGAAAAGGGTCACCGCGCAGAAGCGGGGAGACGCGAGACTCGGGTACGGCAGGTTCGCGTCGTGCCGACCCCGGCGTTGGTTTCTGACACCGCGGGGATCGTTCAACCTTGAACGATCGGCCGTTTCCGAAACGTCCGATCGTTCAACATCGATCGATTCTGGGTCGCCGGCGGCGTTCAACCTTGAACGCCCGCGCTGGGGTCGCCGCTGGTCGACACGACGCAAACCTACCGTACGGGGGGCTCAGCTCGGCCTGGCGAGGCCATCATATTTGGACGCCCGACATGGGCACGGAAAGAGTGGGTACAGTGCCCAACAGCAGTTCTTGTTCATTTGAGCAGGACTCGCTGTCGGTGCCGCCGCGGCCTGTGTCCGTTTGAGACAGAGGGCCGCATAAAAATGACGAGGCCCCATCTGAAATTTGTCGCGAACTCCCGCCGCAGACATCCCACGAAAACCGGACCGTCAAGGTCCGGGACGCGCTCGTCAGGAAACGTCGGCAAACCCGAGTTCCGGCTTGGCTCGCTCGAGTCTTACGTTTCCCCGATAGAAGAGGGCAGCCCGCACCCTGCAGCGTGGCCTGCACAAGACGCCACGCGGCTGGATCTGCAGCGCCACGCCTTCGCCGCTGTGCCAGTCGTCGAAGCTCAGCGAGCTGGCAGCACGCACGCAACCACCTGCCTACCCCGGCTCGGGCGGCGCATCTTCAAATTTGCACCCTACACCTTAGCCCAAAGCGTGGGCCCCAAACCCATGAAATGCATCTTGAACAAAGTGAAATTTGTTCAAGTGTCTGCGCATCATGTGTACAATACCTCCCGCAAACGCGGATAGGAGTGATGGCTTGCCAAATGCGATGAGTAAGCTGTTCAATGGGAACCCGAGGCCCGCCGCAGGAATCGACTACGCCTGGCGGCCCACATGCCATCCACAAGCCCGCCGCAGGCGCCCGATGTGTGCAGTCCGGGCTGAACCAAACATGCGCGTCAAAGATCAAAATACCCCACATTTTTTGATCCGCGGGTCGAGAGCGCACCTCTTCCAGTCTAAGCTAAGCGGGCCGCGCGAAGCTTGAATTAATCAAAGATGGGGGAGGAAAAGAGGGGCGCAGCCTCAACCCCATCAAAAGACCCCACATGTCGACCAGCACAAGATCAAAATCTGTCCTCTGGCGCCCCGAACAAAGAGGGGCAGCTTAGGCCCCTGGGCGACGGGCCCCGGACCCCTGTGAAGGGGACCTGGGACACACAAATAAATACGCACAAATTAAACATTTCCCCATATTTTCTCATATGTTTGTTCTGGGTTTTTGTCTTCCCCCCCACTTTCCCTATTTTCCCATATTTTCTGGGGAATCGACGAGTAATTGTGTCTGTGTTTTCTGTTTTGTCCCTCCTGACCCTGGTCGTCCCACCGACACCGCGGGACCCTGCCGGGAGGGCTCCACCAAGACACCTTGCCTGGGCTCCTGTGTTGCCGCGCGGCCCAAGCCGGCCTGGTCCCGCCGGCCCTCCAGCCGGGAGGATATGGGGAGGCAGAAGAAGAACGCAACGACGCTCGCTCGCTGTGAACCAGACGGCCCGCGTGCGACTTGAGCGTGGCTCCCGTGGGCGGACGTTCCTCACTCCGAGAGGTGGGTCCACGTAGAGATCTGGGCATGCATGCGTGGAGGATGCAGCACCAAATCGTGCACGCGTGCATGCACAAGTAAGCGATCGATTCCACTTCTCGCGTCAGCATGCGTGTGATTATTAGTGCGTTCTCGAGAACGTTCCAGATTGAGATGGTAAGTGAGATCTGCGCTGGCATTTGCGAGCATTCTCTCATGTTTGGTATGTGTGGTATTGGATGGGGCTCCCAGGCTGGCTTGACCACCGAACTAGCAACGCGCTCTCCTCGTGGGCCCATGCGAATTTACGCCGTATGAGCCGACCGTTCACTCATATGCAAAAGCGTCTGCGTTACCAGCAACTTCATCATGCGAGCACTTATGTGGGCGTAAGAGTGTTGACGAACGAGATCAAGTGAACTTCATGTTCCAGGTGGACGCGCATGACAATTCTGCGCGCATGAGGTCTAGAATGACCAGCTGCACCCGATGGGTATGTAAGGCGAACCTGTTAAACACGCCGTTTCACTTCGAAGATATTTCCTTTTGGTCGGGAAAAGAAGTATAGAACATTTCCCCAAGCGCTGCTTGAACTTGCAGGGCTGTTTTTTATTTTTCTATTAAAAAACATAGGATTTCAAAATTATTGGATGTTTACTACATGATTTATTTTTGAATAAATCCATGCGTGAACTCATCCTTGTTTTTAAGACTGAATCCCTGCATTTTTAATACATGATCCGCACGCGGAGCATGTATTTAAAAAGGCACTGTACGGGTTCTCACTTGCCTTCTAAAGAACTGCACCAATATGCTGGCCTAGAGGCCCCGCTCCCGTCCGTCACCGTCTTATTTCCAAATCAACAACCCATATGTTGGCCCGGCGGTCCCATTCCCGTCCGTGGCCGCCCCTTGGCACTCCCTTCTTGCCTGGGGCAGAAACCAGCCACACTCCATGAGAAAAGTGGGCGCGCGAGGCGATCTCGTCGGAGATCTCGATCTCGTCGGAGACCTCGTCGTGAGGTCTCCAGGAACAAGGAACTAGGCATGGCCGCCTGGACCAAGGACCCAAGCTCGAGAGAGGAACCCCCAAGGGCCTCGCGCGGCCAATGAAGTCTGCCACCGATCAGCATCGAAGCCTGTTTCGGTTCCAACTTGGTACACGATTGCAAACCGTCCTTGGGCTAACGGCCCGTCGTGTTAGAGCCGCGACGCCGACAGAACATCCGTTACACCCCACCCCCCCTTCGCAACGCAAGCTTACCATTGCTGTGCATTGTATGTTCTGCGTTGAGTTGCATGGCCTTGTATTGAATTGCATTGTTTTGCAGTGCAGGGGATTGCTTTGCATTACTCTGCTGTGTGTTGCAGTGCGTTGCCTTATGCTGTGCATCGCTTCGCATGGCTTTGCATGACTCAGCATTGCATTAATGTATCGCGTTGCATGGCTTTGCGTTGCTTGGAATTGAATTGCCTTCCCATGCCTTGCGTTGCATTGATTTTCCTACAAAAAACCATGGGATCGGACCCTTGTCCTGGAATTCACAATCCCCCTATGAGCATTACAAATTACGTGTGATTCTGCCACGTCCTCCACCCGTAGCATCCCAGCTGACCCGGTATCCACCACCCCATCATCATCCGCAATAGAAATTATGCGCGCACACTCGTTTACCAAAAACCATCCGTTTGAAAACTCCATGACCAAAAAAGAAGTGTATGCGCGCATCGCCGTCGCGCGCGCATGCCACACATTCTAAAAACATTAGGTATCGTAAGGGTTTGGACATCGAGTGCCCCGAGAACGTATAACCAATAAGATGTCGGATGCATTATTTCAAGCACAACCTGCGCGGGCGCTCGTGCGAATAGTTAGCTGGGCAACGCAATTTTAACAACATGCTTACAACATGATACAAGCGGGCATCTCGCGAGCGCATACCGGAATCACTCGAAAGCCCTTGCGCGCGCGCTGTCGCAACAAAAACCCTTGCAACAGACGGGGCGAAACAAGAACACACACGCTCGCGTCGTCACGCGCGCATGCGGACATCCTTCAAATCCCTGAAGATGCCTGCGGATTTCAAAATTCAGCGTCCCGGGCGCAATTTTTTTGTGTATATATATATATATATACACATATATATATATATATATATAAACCATGGTTTTGCCACGCCTGCTTTCAGACAAACACCCTGCGCTCTCGCTCCGGCGATTTTCTTTCTTTTTTCAAGCAAAAAACATTGGCTTTTCAACATGCTCAATAAATTCGGCCAAATTGGCCTCTCGCGTCGCATGTCAAATTAATTCGAACACCATCGCGCGCGTGCTGGGGGGGAGGGCGCGATCGGTGTCAATTAATACAATGCGGGCCGTTCTCGCGCGCCGGCCGCGCGCGAATGTCGAACTTCCTCTTCAAACCTTCATCACCGACGCAGGGACGCCGTCCTCGTCGCCGGCGTGATCAACATCGGCGCCGTCACTGGCCTTGCCATCGTCGTTGACACCATCGTCACCAGCATCGCTACCATCATCATCTCGTCTACCGTTGCCGGCGTTTCTGTGATACCGCGCCCGCCCAAGTCGTCGACTCGGTTTGAAGTGCCCGCTGGGAAGTTCCCAGAAGTTAACGCCACCGCGGCCACGGCGGTCGCGTCAAACTAGCTGGACGCTGCGCGCGCGGGCATGCGCGGGCGAGCATGGCCGCAAAGATGCACCAGCCAACACCAAGCACTCATCGCAATCGCCGCCACAGGGGTTGTGCAACCCAAGTTGCTTATGGGTGGGTGGGATCATTTCGTGAGTAGTCGAGTTGGCAACCCACTGCGAACAGAAACTAATTTGCACCGCATAGTTTGAACCACGTGGATTGTACCACCTACATTGCACCACATTGGTTGCACCACCTAGATTGCATCGCGTGGTCTGCAAGAAATCACTGTTTTGGGGTCCGCGCTGGTTAACATAACCGAATGCAATCGATACGACAAGCATGCTATGCCATCCCCCAAACGCCGCATACCCTACGAATGAAAAAGCACAGACTGTGCACAGGTAGGGTCTCAGCGAGCAACGTTTGAGTATTGAGCATGAGTTCGCCTCCAATTGGAACTATGACACGTGTCTGGGTTAATCACGCGACACATACCTCCTCCTCCCTATTTGCCCGTCGGAATATTCCCAAGGCCACTCCAAATCTCCAGAGTCTCGGACGGCGTTTGTAACATCGTTGTTAGGTATATGTCTGCTACTGCGCGTAAAACATCAAGTATCTGTGCATATATAGATACACACACATATATACATATTTATATATACGTATGTGTATAATTACATATATATATATATATGTATATGTCGGAAGTTGGGGGGTGAGATCGCAGTGGAACGGATACCCCCGACCAGGACATCGTTTCGTTTCGTTCGTGTCGTGCGTGCGGGCGAGGCGAAGCTGCGCAGGCGCGCGAGAGGAATGAACCCGCCGTTGCTAGGGCGAAATCAAGACAAATGATTCTCCCCCTCCAGCCCGTCTGGCGGTGGCCCGCGGTGTCCCGCGGTGTCCCGTGGTGTCCCGTGGTGTCCCGTGGTGTCCGCCGTTGCTAGGTCGAAATCAAGACAAATGATTATCCCCCGCCCGCCCGTCCGGCGGTGGCTCGCGGTGTCCCGCGGTGTCCCGTGGTGCCTCGTGGTGTCCCGTGGTGTCCCGTTGAGTGAGATCAATAATGAGATCGATACTGAGATCGATAATGAAATCGATAGTGAGATCGATCCTGAGATCGATGCGGTGCCCCGAGGTGTCCTGTGGAGTCCCAGAAAAGTGAGATCGATAGTGAGATCGATAATGAGATCCACAGGTGTCTCGTGGTGTCCCGTTGAGTGAGATCGATGGTGAGATCGATGCGGTGCCCCCAGGTGTCCCGATAGTGAGATCGACAGGTGTCCTGTGGTGTCACGTGGTGTCCTGTGGTGTCTCGTTGAGTGAGATCGGTAGTGAGATCGATAGTGAGATCGACGTGGTGTCCCGAGTTGCCCGTGGTGTCCTGTGGTGTCCTATGGTGTCCCGTTGAATGAGATCGATACTGAGATCGATAATGGGACCGATAATGAGATCGAGAGAGGTCCCGCGGTGTCCCGCGGTGTCCCGTGGTCTCCCGTGGTGGCCCGTGGTGTCCCGTTGAGTGAGATCGATAGTGAGATAGAAAAGTGTCCCGTGGTGTCCCGTGGTGTCCCGTTGAGTGATATCGACAATGAGATCGCTTGAGTCAGATGTTGGCTCCCCCCCTCTCCCCCCGCAACCTTCTTATCACCCGAAGGGTGGTCGTATAGGTAGATATATGGATACACCCCCGTGTCCTTGAGGCACGAGATGAAGTGTCCTCAGGTCCCTTGTTGGATTCCCTGGAGCCCCAGTCCACAATCCTGAGGTTCCTATCATGGGCCCAGGCCCAAAAGTCACAAACCTTCCCTGGCTTGCCATTTGGCCCTTAGGGCTCCCGGCGTCTTCCCGCACATCTTCTTCGGCCCCGAAGGGGCCCCAAGAGGGGCCAAGAGGGCTCCACGAGGCCTCCAAGACTGTCTAAGATCGCCGAAAGATCGGTCAAAGATGACCGAGATGGGCCCAAGACGGCCCAAGAAGCCTTCGAGACGCCCCAAGAAAGCCCCAAGAGCCTTCCCAAGGCCCCGGGAGCCCCGAATCACCGATTGTCCTAGAATGTATTCGTTGTATGAAGTGCCTAAGGTTCTCCACGTTTCTAAGTTTCGACGCTCCAAAGACGTCCCAAGAGTGCCCAAAGATAGCTTAAAGACGGCCCCAGAGGCCCCCAAGACGGCTCTAAGACAGCCCCAAGACGACCCAATAGGCGCCGAACACGGCCCAGGAGAGACCCAAGAAGGCCCCAAGAGGGGCCCAAGATGGGAAACAATATCCAAAAGTCCGACTCTTCCGCCCCAAGAAGCGCCCAAAGACCCCAAGAGGGACCTAAGAGGCCCCAAGAGGTCCACAATAGGCCCAGAGGCCTCGACGAGATCCCAAATACAATCCAAGAGGCTTCAGACCTACAACCCAGGCACGTGGGCGGCATGGGCCGAAGGCCTTTACACAGATCTATATATACATGTATACAGACGTGTGATCATTCTCAACAAAATACGTCTGTATGTGTATATGTATGTGTACGCATGTATTGATGTAGTTCACATAAACACATCTCTATGTATACACATTTACAGCTATATACATATTGCTATGTGAAAAAAACTATCGCGGTGCAGGCAAGGACTACATCGGTCGAGTCTGCTTGGCCACGGACAGAATCATTGGGTGTGCCCTGGAAATGGCTAATTAGCATCAATGTTGCTTCATGTCAGCGCATTCCATGGTATAGTTAGCGTTTGTAGTTGCACGCCCTATGGTCCTTCTTGCCACTCCTTCTTGCCACCAGCACAGCTTCCTGGCAGTGTGTCCCTCGACCTGCCTTTCCCGTTCCCATCACTCTTATCCTCCGCACCCTCATCCTCGCCGCCCTCTCTCCCAACCTGTTTTCGCTGTGCTGGAACCTTGTGACGGCCCCTCCTGCCCTTCCCTCCAATGAGGGGCACGAACCGCGGCGAGGCCAGGGGTGCCTTTTTGCCCAGCGGCGGGTTCAGAACGAACACCTCGCCAATGACCGAGGGGGGCCAATGTACGGGACAGGTCAGGGAAACTTCTTACATGAGCTAGCAAGGATGGCATGCTCTGGAGCGAACCGAGCACGCAATCGAAAAATGCAGCCGACCACACCAAAACAGAAACGTCACTGAATCTGATATCAGTCGAAACACCGAACCGATAGAAGTTGCAATCGTCGTCGTTGATGTGCCCGCCGCCATGTCCCCTGGCACGTGGCGGCGTGGTAGAATGCCAAGTGCTGTCTGGAAGGGTATCTTTTATTCCTAAGGTCCCCCCTCTCATCGCACTCCGCTGCACGAACTGGACCTATTTCTCAAAATTTGCTGGGCGGCCCTTCCCACCTCTGGGGCTCCCCTAAGCCCTCCACGGCTTCCAAAACTGTCCAGGAAAGCCAGACCAGCCGCCAACATATACCGTCAGCGCCCGGAAGAAGCGCCAGCAGCTCCGGAGAGGCGTCCAACTAAGTCCCAAAACACTCCCGAGAAGCTATCCAGGAGACACTCGGGAGACGACAATCATTCTTGCTCGCTCTCCGTATGCTTTCCGATGTGCTGTTTTCCGCGGTCTTCGGCAGAAGATCGGTCCACTTTCGGCCTCCAGGCTCCTTAGGAGGCCCCGAAAATGCTGGTCCCGAGAATCTACACCAGAACCACCTCCATTCCCCCTCTCTCCTCTCTCCTCTTCCTGCCCTCCTCTGTCCTTGGGGAGGGATGGGGTTAGGGAGGTGGTGGTGGTAAATATTCTTTTGGCTCCGTAGAAGAAGCTCCCGAGAACCCCAGAGGCCCCCCAGGAGCCCACCCCAAGAGGCCCCCGAGAGGTGTCTCAAGAGATACCCAAAAATACATCCGAGAGGCCCCTGGCCCACAACCCAAACACGGCGGCGGGTGGGGCCGAAAACCAATCGCGAATGACTGGTCCTCAGACTCGCCAGCGCTCGGACGCCCATTCCCCGTGCCTTTTCTTCGTTTCGCGCGTGCATTTCCCGCAAGATGATCCAGGATGCTCCTCGATGGCCCACGCCGAGAAGAATGCAAACGTCTGGGCGATGCCAAGACGATGACAAACAAAATAACCAACACAAGAGGCATTCGCTGTGACGTGAGTTTAACACGCACGCGCGATATAACAGCTTGAGCGTTGATGACAACAGCATGAAGCATGCCCCTTGAGAGCAACAGCTGCGTTGTCTGAAGAACTCGCGTTTGCTAGCCAGCAGCTCAACCAATGTGAGGGAGCGTGAGAGGAAACAACCTGGGAATACAGACGCGCTGTGTTGTACACAACGTGTGCTTCGCCACCGTTGCTCTGCAACGCCGTGTGTTGGAGCATGGCGCTGGGATTTGCAACTCGGTGCTAGAAAGCAGGCTTGGTGCGAACTCGCCTTGGCATGCGAAGGCGCCAAGGCGTGGTGAAGAAGAGGGGGAGGAACAAACAGAGCAGTGACAGCGGGGAGAGGCTCCCCAACGTCCTCACAAAGACAATTCGCGCGTGCGTAGATCGATCACCCTGGGCAATGCCGGACGCGGCGCGTGCACAGGCACCTCGCGGATGGAATTCAAACCTGGACCGCATGCTCAGGCGGACCGTGCTGCTGATTGGCTACACTGAAGTCGGGCCTGTCCCCCTACAGGCGGTTTTGGGCGAAAAATGCAAGATATGCAACACATTTTAAACTATACAAGAATAGTTAAAAAGATCGTCCCCATACGATGTTCTTACTATTTTTGAATACTCCTCCTCAGGCCCGGCTTCAGGCTACACGCAAGCGACCCTGGGCAAGAGTACTCGGTGCGCGGCCCAAGGGGGCTTCTGGGACGCAGAATCCAAGCGTGCAAGCCAGTGCTTTCAGGACCCGTGTGAACCCGCGCCACAAGTCACTCTGGCGAAGGGCCACTCTTTTGGGTGACCCAAAAGGGGGTCAAGCTCAAAAGGGGTGGTACAATAACTTTGGGGCACATGTATTGCAAATGTATTGCGCCGGAGAATTGTATTGCATTATATTGCAAGTAATGTGTTGCACGCGAAAGTCCAGCAATACCTTTCCGCCCCGGAATGTATTGCCCGCCCCAAACGCATTGCAGCCCCACAGATCTATTGCACCAAATCTATTGCACCACCCCCTTGTCGCTGGACCCCCTTTTGGGTCAACCCGAACTCTTACGCGTAGCCGATTGTTCCCCAATCTGTGCTTGCACTTAAAGGGTCCTAGCGGAAATTGGAAGATTTGGCGGAAGTGTCCCGCCGATCTTGGTGGCCGGCTGGGTTCCCGGGTTCCCGGTTCCGGGTTCCCAGGTTCCTGGTTATTGGTTCCGGGCCGATTTCGGTGGGTTCTGGGCTCCCGGGTTCCGGGTCGATCTCCTTACCGATCAAAACATACTTCCAACATGGCCTCCAGTGATGGTCTCAGGGCCCGTACTTGGACCCTTTTGGCAGTCCAAGGGGTCTCCGCAAGACATCATAATCAATGAATCCTGTACGGTTTTGACACGATTTTGGTTTAACCAGTCTTAAGGGCGCCCAAGACGGCCCAAGAGGCCCCCAACACCGCCACGAGACCGCCCCAAGCTGGCCCCCGAGGCCCCCAAGACTGCCCCAAGAGTGGCCCAAAAGGAGGAACTCGAACTGACATCTGGAGCCCTTCCCCCAAGATGGCGCCCGAGACCGCCAAGAGGCCACCATCAGGCCCCCGGAGGCCCCACATAACCGCCCAGGCCCCAACCCAGACATGCGACGTCCTGAATTCTTCAATGCGCGGTCTCCCGAAGACTCGACCATTGCCCCGGGACCGGCTTTGCAGTCTGAACCCTTTTCTGACGGTCCTGGGCCCGGCGAGGGCCCCCAGAGGCCGCACACGGCGAACAACCTCCTGTGCCAACTTTGTCACGACGCGAGCATGTCTGGGAGGGCGTCTGCAACTGGCTCCCAAACGACAAGGCCGTTTTTTCCCGGTTCCGTTTTGCCGTTTTTTTGCCGGTTCCGGCGCCGTTTTTTTACCGGTTCCGTCGCCGTTTTTTTACCGGTTCCGGCTCCGGTTCCAATCCTGGAGTCGTCTTTTTTGCCGTTTCTGGCCGCCGTTTTTTTGCCGTTTCCATTTTCAAGGGACATTTTTCTGGAAACGGTGGAAAAACGGCCCTGCCGTTTCTGGGGCCCACAAAGTCCCAAGATGACATGCAACGTACTCCCTTCTCCTCCACATCGTCGTGATCATCCCCCCTTTAGAGGCCTCCTAAATGGGGTCCGAGTAGATGGGGTCGGAGGATCTCGCCGCATCGCCGATACATCGGCGATACATCGGCGATGCATCGGCGATGCATCGGCCATGCACTGGCGACGTCGGCGATACATCCGCGACGTCGGCGTGGAGAAAATTGGGCCCCGCGTCGAGCCGCACCGCCACTGCATCGCCGATGCATCCGCGATGCGGCGCGATCCTCCGACACCATCTACTCGGACCCCATCTAGGATTATGTCGGGCGTGTCCCCCTACAGGGGGATTTTCGACGAAAAATAAAAAAATACCAAACAAATAATCAAAACATCATCCAAAAATAATCTGGGGACTATTTTAGGTGTATTTTTTGACCCCTTTGGGAGATTTTTCAATTCTTCGTCGAAAATCCCCCTGTAGGGGGACACGCCCGACAGAAATCTAGGAGGCCTAGGCCCTTGGCCCCGCCACCCGCTCTCGGCCACCGGGGCGCCCCCGGCCGAGGCGGCGTGCGCCGTCGGCGTGGCTCCGAGGCCCGGAGGCCCTCGGGGGAACGTCGGCGCTCGCAGCGGGGTGGGCGCTCGCTGCCCCGGTGGCCCCCCCCGCTGCGGCAGTCAGCCCGTGCAGTCAGGACGCGCGAGAGGGGTGCAAGCTGTTTTTAGGGAAACAAGAAGTGACATAAACATAGTAACTCGGAGGTCCGCGCGGATTTCTCGGATCGGCGCTGGGGACCCCCGGCAGCGCCGCCCCTGGCGCGCTCCGCGCGCCAGGGAGGGGTCCAGCGCGGTTCCGAGAAATCCGCGCGGACCTCCGAGTTTCTATGTTTATGTCACTTTTTGTTCCCCTAGCTTTGGCCTGAACCACCAGCAAGAACTCCGAGCACCAAGAACTTCGACACCAAGAACTTCTCACGTGTCGGCCTTTGGGAGACACTCGTTCGACACTGTTTCGACACTTTCCCCAGGTGCTCGCAATCATTTCTGGGATGTGGCTCTGAAGTACGATGGGAGCAACACAGTCCTCGTCCTTAGTGGGCCCTGGAAACGACAGAGCCGTTTTTGTTACTGGTTCCGTTTTGCCGTTTTTGTTGCCGGTTCCGACGCCGTTTTTGTAACGGTTCCGTCGCCGTCTTTAACCGGTACTGGCTCCGGATCCAATCCTGGAGCCGTTTTTTTTGCCGTTTCCGGTGGCCGCTTTTTAGCCGTTTTCATTTTCAAGGGGCATTTTTTGGGAAACGGTGAAAAAACGGCCCTGTCGTTTCCGGGGCCCACAAAGGTGCACGGGCCTTGGACAGCCATGTCGACACTCTGCGGGCGGGGCGCGGCCAGCGCAAGCGGCCAGGGCTGGGCCGAAGGGGAAGGATGCAGGGGTAACCTCGGAAAGTCACTCAGCCTGACTGTGCGGGTTAGGTTGACTGCGCACGCAATCCAAAAACGCAGTCCGAGCCGCACCTCTTCCCTTCCCTTCTCTTCCCTCGTCTCCCTTTGCCCTACGTTCTCGAAGGCGTTCCCCCTGCCTCCCTCACTCCCTCCTTCTTTTCGTTCGTTATTCACTCGAGGCCTCAGGGACAAAAGTCTGACTCCCACGCAGCAAGGCTGATGGCAGAAATGACAGAAAGAACAAGAAAGAGGTGCAACGATCACGACCTCTCTCTTTCGCTCCTTTTCCATTTCTCTCTTTTCCTCCTCCCTCCTCCTCCCCCTCACTCGTCCTCCTCCTCCTGCTCCTCCTGCTCCTCTGTCTCCTCCCCCCCCACCCCATGTGTCCTTATCAATAAACCTTTCTCTACAGTCGCACCCCCAGACGAATCGGCAGTTTGGGCTGGGCGATCCACCCGATACTTCCCCACCATCTAAGCTCCGGACTCCTGATTGCAAGAGCTTCAATGATGGAGGGCGGATCGTTTTCAAAGAGTGGCTCTCGACTTAGATCCCGAACATGGTGTTTTCGACACGATTCCGGATGTTCAAACGTTTGTCCTCCAATACGGCATTTCCAACATTGAACATAGGGTTGGCGTTGTAAAGATAGCGTGCAGCACCGATCTCCGGGGGGGGGGGAAAACACGCGATTTCCCAAACTCGAGCTTCCTTAGTGTAGGCTTCCCCTCTGAGGCGCCCCCCCCTCGAGGGGTACTTCTGTGTACGCGACCCCCCCTCTGCCAAGGCGTCCTCCGCGCACGCCATCCCAAGGTGGGGGAGTGTAGCGGGTAAGAGGCGGACCGCCGGCGCCACATCTCACGCAACATGTGCGACGACGACCGTACACCGTTCAGGGGCCCGTTCAGAGCAGGGTGTTTTTTCACCAGCGATGGTGCGTCTTGGGTTTTTACCCTGGTCCTCCCTCTTCGTACTCCTTCCTCCCTCCTCCCTCCCCCCTCCCCCTTCCCCCCCCTCCTCCTCATCTTCTTCCTCCTCCTCCTCCTCCTCCTCCTCCTCCTCCTCCCCCTCCTCCTCCTCCTTCTCCTCCTCCTCCTCCTCCTCCTCCTCCTTCCTCCCTTCGGCGCGGAGGCGCCCGCAGCCGCTGGGTGCCTGCGGGCACCCCTGCCCAGGAGATGAAGCCCATAGAAAGGACGGCTGTGGGCCCCGCGCTCCATGGGGTGGAGCGCGTTTCCTTCTTTTCAGCGATAGTGGGCATTTTTTTTGGTCGCTCAGACATCGCGCCCGTCTGCTCCGCAAGGCGCCGCACCCAACGAGACTCTTGGGCGCTTGGGCCACCTCCATTTCAAAAAGAGGGTGCCTGAGGAAGCCGAACACCTCGCACGCCCACTCAGAGAAGGGTGATGAGGAGATAGTGGGCATTATAGGAGGGGGGGAGGGGCCAGGGGGGGGGTATAATGTAACGCCTCCCCCCCGCCGAGCCCACGGCGGCAGTGCCTGGAGCGCACTGGGGGTGGATGGGGCGCTACGTTACACGGGGGGGGAGGGGGGGCCAGGGGCTAGAATGCCCATTATGCACCAATCAACAAAGAAACACGCTCTTGGCTCCTGAGGGGCGTCTGCGAGCCCCCCTGCCCCGCCTTCGCGGGCGCCCGACCCACCTGCCTCGCGACTGTCGGGGGCGCGCAGACATGGATCAGGGGAGGTACCCTCCCCCAAAATGCGGGCGGTGCCGCCTCGCTCGGCGGCGGGAATCCGCGATTTTCCCAATGGAAGCGGGAGGCGTCGCGAATCCACGCCCCTTTATCCATGTTTGCAATCGCCTGAGACTGCTGCTCGCTCGCTCGCACTTCCTCATTCCTCCTCGTCTTATGATGCTCAAACCTACTTTAGCCTGGACCACCAGAGAGAATTGCGAGCACCAAGAAGATACCGAAACTCGAGGGTTCTCACGTGTCGGGCCCTGCGAGACACTCGTTCGACACTGTTTCGACACTTTCCCCGGGTGCTCGCAATCAGTTCTGGGATGTGGCGCTGAAATACGACACTCGTTTCGACACTCGTTCGACACTGTTTCGACACTTTCCCCGGGTGCTTGCAATCAGTTCTGGGATGTGGCTCTGAAGTACGACGAGAGCAACACAGTCCTCCAAGACTGGAACCTGAGCCGGAACCGGTCAAAAAACAACGACGGATCTGGTAAAAGTTCGGCGTCGGAACCGGCAACAAAAACGGCAAAACGGAACCAGTAACAAAAGCAGCCCTGTCGTTTCCAGGGCCCACTAAGTCTTGGGAGCCAGTTGCAGACGCCTTCCCAGACAGTCCTCATCCTCGTCCTCCCCGTCCTCGTCCTCCCTCCTCGTCCTCCCTCGTCCTCCCTCCTCCCGCGCCTCCTCGGGCGACCGCAGCGCGGCCAGCAGGTCCGGCGCGGCGCCCTCGCGCAGCAGGGCCCGCACCTCGTGCTGGACCCTCGTGCGGATGTTGGGGAAGTCGGCCGCGCCTGCCCCCCCCCCAGGGAGGGGTGGGGGTACCAGGGAGGGGGTGGGGGGCAAGCATACGCAGACTATACACCACCACCGTGCCAGGCCAGGGCCATCCTGGGCCCTAGGATGGTGTGTACGTCCTCCTGGCCGAGCCAGGAGGGTTTATACACCATCCTACGACCCAGGATGGCCCTGGTCTGGCACGGTGGTGGTGGTGGTGTATAGATGCCTTCGTCGGAAAGCACTGCTGTGTTTGACGATGCGCTTGCCTTGCGATTCGGAAGCCGGGCAAAGGCTGCAAAAATCCGTGGCTGCGAACATCGACCTCCGGGAAATTGTCTGCGTCCTTCCTGGAAGAAGCCCGTTGACTGTTTCGCGTGCCGCGCCTCATTCCGGGAAGTTGATTTTCCTTCCGGGAGGGCCGTTTTAGCAGCCACGGTTTTAGCAGCCCTCGCCCAGTTACCGAGCGATCTCAGACGCAAAGGCATCGCGAAGCATTGCGACGATATTCAGATGCTGCGAGATCCCCAAGGCGAGCGAGCACACAGCGACAAAGAGACAGCATAGTTTCGATTGCGCCAGGTTGCAAAAAGCTCCTGCCCGCCGCAGAATACAACACGATTCCTGCTGTGGCGGATTACACTTTGATCCCTGTCGAAGCGGGTTGCGCAATGATCCCTTCCGTGGGGACTTCCAAAGAGTTGTCTGGATTGAAAAGTTACACAGGATTCCCATTGTGTCATATTGCGAATCGTTTTTTTTGCGGAGCTTGCTGATCGGTTCCATCTCTCGCAAGATACAAGAGGAGCCCCTTAGCCAGAGAATGCACAGTAATCGCCGCTGTCGGAAAATACAACAGATTGTTTCTCTGCGGCAGGTTACAATGGGATGCTTCCTGTTGAGTGTGATAGTCGAAATATGTTTTGCCTCATTACACGTGGGCTCTTTTTGTCTAGTGGCAGTCGAGCACATGAATCCCACCATCCCTCTGGGCTGAATGGTCTCCCGAGTTGTTACCAGTTGTCTGCCACAAACCCTCCATCCCCTACACGGGGGAAGGGCTTATGATAAGCCCTTCCCCCAGCGGCTACCCCCTGGGTGGGCTGGAACCAGCGCATCGCTCGAGACATCCTCACAATCAGCTGGGCGCGGTCATAGGGTAGGTGGCTACGCAACGCCCTGTTATGGTTTTGTATTGTGGTATGACATGGTATTGTGTTGTTGTATTGTGTTGTGTTATGTGTGTTGTGGTGTGTTGTGTTGTGTTGTGGTGATATGATAATACGGTTTTTGTGCAACGCTGTTCTACATCATTATATGGCGTGCGGGGTGCTGGGACATCGATCAGAAAATTTAGTTTTGCAAAAGGATTTTTTGATAATTCCAAGAATATTGTTGGAGTATTTTAACATAAGTGTCCAAAGTGTATTCTGGGACTATTTTTGGAGTATTTTCAAGGTTTCCTGGTTTTGCAGAGTGAGGAGGATTAGTTCCATACAAGGCTTATCACTGCTCCCTATTGATATACACCTCCTCTCCTAGGCGACCGGCAGCCAACCAGGAACCATAAGGACCCCACGCCCCCCCCCTCCACACCATCCCTAGCGAAAAACAATGCAAAACGCACTCTGCCTCCACATTTGGAGCATGCGCGGCCAACCCGATGCGCCCCCCCCTTCCCTGTCAAAAACCATACAACATACACTTTGGGGCAAAATCTTGGGTCATGTTCGTGAGGCCCGCGAGTACTTCGTATTGTTTTTGACAGGGACGGCGGGGGCGTCAGCATAGTTATTGCCTGTTGTGCGCAAGACTACCATCCCTTACAAAAAAAACAACACAGAATGCACCTCGCGGCTAAACTTGGATCATGCGCGGCCACCCCGCGATCACTGCCAAGTGGTTTTTGACAAGGACGGCGGGGGTGGTGGTGTATGGCCTGCTGTGCGCAGGCCAGGCAGACACAATAATGGGCATTGGTTTTCGACATGGATGGTGGGGGCCGTCATGCTTCCCGATGTGTGCTGTCACGTGCGCAGGCGCACCTGACACACCCTGCAAGTGCCCCGAACGTGGCGCACCTGGCGCGGCTGGTGTATGCGGCACACCTGGCGCACGCGGAGGCACGTGGCGCATCTGGCGCACCAGGCGTGCCTGGCACGCTCGGGCCCCCGGGGTGCCTGGCGCGCATGGCACGCCTGGCACGCGTGGCGCACCTCGCCCCAGTGTCGCGCACATGGGCTCGGTTTTGGTTCCCAGTAGTTGCCCATCCAAAGACGACCGCTGAACATGCTCAGGCTCGGGTGTTACTTATGTGTTGGGAGGGCGGGTGGGAGTGAGCAAAACGGCTTGCAGGCGGGTGGGTAGCTGGGCCCAGGGGGGGAGGGGATAGTTTCGGGCCCGGGAGGTGGGAGGGGGAGGGGGAGAGCGTGGGGAGGCCAAGGGCGGGCCGTCGGGCGGGCGGGTTGGCACGGGGAGGGCTTATCAAACAATCCGGAGAAGCTTTTGCCCTCCCGTGACGCTCGAGAGAGGTGGGAACAGCGAGCTGGCACGCTGACAGGATAGCAGAGCGGTGCTCGTGTTGAGTACTTGGCGAGGGATGGAGGAAGCGGGAGGGGAACGAGCCAGCACGATGCATCCAAGTCACACCCTTGCTGCGCGGGAATCCGGTCCAAGAAGAGACGGTACTCCGTGGACTCCAGCTCTTTCCTCCTAAATACCTGCTGCCAACTGCTCCTCGTGATCCACTGGCGCATCCTTCCCCTCTCCCTGGATACCACCGACGAGGACAATCTGCTGCAGCAAAGTCCGAACATCCTTGGGCAGCACCAAAAGCTGGAATGTTCGGTGAAGGTGTGCAGACACCTGCTCAACAACAAAAGGCTGCTGACGGTGCTGATGACGACACGGGTGACGGCGTCGACGGTAAGACGCGTGATGGCCTAGATGATTACGATGGTAACAGATATCGGCACTCGCTTCGGGCAGGGGCGGTCTCTGGGAGCAAGAGTCTTCGCTGCGGTGCCCGAACACTCTGCAGCCACGGACGGCCATAAAGACCTACACAAGTGCGCCTGATTGCCACATATTCATCAAACATTGACCACAATCTCCTCCACACTGTTCGCCCAGTGGTCTCAACGGCTAGGGGAACACGTAAACATGTAGCACTGCCAAGCTGTTACCCATAAGGAAAAGCAAGGGGCGGTGCGTTCGCTGGCGGCGCCAACGATAAAACTCTCGCACCCAAGATCTGCAAACGACGCCCGAAACGGTACGGTAAACATATAGCTGTACTGGAAAAGTGATGGATATCTACATATTAGGCAACGGAATCGCCGTGGGAGTTGCGAGGACGAATGATAAAGCAACGCCGCCCTGTGCGTGCACTTCCCCCCCCTCTGGGTGATGACTCACCTCCGAATCTACACCTGCCGTGGCCCCATGCAGCCCTAGAGACCTCACCGAAGCGGCTCACTGGCATCACCTGTACGTGGGGAGCGACCATCGATGTCCGGAGGGGCCAAGGCGGGGAACGCGAGAAACCCTGGCCCTCCTGGGCCCTCGAGGCTGGCCCGGGCACGCGACGTGGCCCCGGAACAACTCCGGCTCCGGCACAGGCAAGGATCTAAGATGGCGGGGCGGCCCAGTCGAGGTCTCCGCCAGCGCCCAGGCCCCAGGCCCCGCGCCACGTATGATCCAGGGCGGGGCCCCCCGGGGCTTTCGCACCCGTTGAGGGTTATGGGTTTAGGGTTTAGGGTCAACAAGCTCTGCCGCAGCTTGTCCCCTCCTGCCTAGGAGCCCACCTGCGGTGGCTGTCGTTCCCACCCGCAAACCACCCCCCATAAAGATCATCTTTCCCCTCGTTGCAAGCACAACGAATGGGAACGCTGAGGACATGGGAGCGCGTGGGAGCGCCGAGAGCGCTTGGGAGCGCCTGCAACGCCTAGACGCCACTGGGAGCGCGTGGGAGGGCCTGGGAGCGCTTGGGAGCGCCTGGAGCACTTGGGAGCGCGCTTGGGAGCGCATGAGAGCACGTGGGGGCGCTTGCAAGGGATGGTAAGCGTTTACAGCACGCACGATCCGGAAATATTATTTGTTCAAAGGGATGGCGACGGTTTACACCACGCATGATCAGGATATAATATTTTAAACATAGGATGGAGGGGGTGAGCGCGAAGAATGATCAGGAAATGATATTCTTTGTAAGGGATGGCGAGGTTTTACAGCCCGCATGATCAGTATATAATATTTGTTGCATAGGGTGGAGGGGGGCGAGCGCAAAACATGATCAGGATATAGTTGTTTTGCAAGACGTGGCAGGCCGGTCGTATGAAGTTGCATGCGGGCCGGATTTACGGGTTTAGGGTTTAATACTTATAGGATTAGAGATTTAGGGTCTACAAGCTCTGCCGCAGCTGATCCCCTCCTGCCTAGGAGCCCACCTGCGGTGGCTGCCAATCCCACCCGCAAGCCACCCGACCATAAAGAACTTTCGGAGACCTATGAGAACTTCCTTGTTAAGGAAATCTCATAGGTGTACGAACGTCAGGAAATGATATGTATTGCGAGGGGTAGCGAGGGTTTACAGCACGCGTGATCAGGAAATGAAATTGGTTGACGGGATGGCGAGGGATTACAGCACGCATGATCAGGAAATCGTATGTTTGTTTGCATAGGATGGCGGGGGTTTACGTCCGCGGACGCGCATTTGTAGTGCACACCGCAATTGATTATGCACGCATGATCAGGAAATAATATTTTTTGCAAGGGATGGAGCCGGCTCACATGCCGGGTCGTATGTAGTCGTATGTGGCCGCGTTTTCAATGTTCAAGGCTTAGTAGTTCTAGGATTCAGATTGTAGGGTTTAGGGTCTACTAGCTCTGCCGCAGCTGATCACCTCCTGCCTAGGAGCCCACCTGTGGTGGCTGCCAGTCCCACCCGCAAACCACCCTACCATAAAGAACTTTCGGGGACCTAGAGAGCGTTTCCTTCTTAAGGAAAGTCTCAAAGGTGTATGAATGTCAGGAAATAAAATGTACTGCAAGGGATGGCGTGGGTTTACAGCACGCATGATCAGGAAACATTTTTTTTGCAAAGGATGGCGAGGGTTTACAGCACGCAGGATCAGGACATAATATCTGTTGCAAAGGATGGCGAGGGTGTACAGCAAGCATGATCAGGAAATCCTATGTTTTGCCAGGGACGGCGCCGGTTTACATCAAGGGCTGCCAGGAAATAGTATTTTTGGCAATGAAAAATATGGGCCCAGGAGTTCGGATCGAAATAGGGAGGCATGGAGCCAGGATGTTCAAGGTTTAATAAGATTAAAGGTTTAGGGTTTAGGGGGGCGCTTCCCCCCCGCCCTCCACACTCCGCACTGTCCGCGCGGCGAGGTGCCGCGCGGCGGCGGCACCCTGCCGCGCAGAAGGCTCGGAGGGCGGAGGGCAACGGGCTGTTGTCCACGGTCGCGGGGCCCGAAGACGGCCCCTGGGCGCCGAAGATTCGCCTCCTCCTCATTATCCTCCTTCTGCTGATCGTCGTCATCATCATCATCATCCTCATCATCAGCATCAGCATCAGCATCATCATCATCCTCATCATCAGCATCATCATCATCCTCATCATCAGCATCAGCATCATCATCATCAGCATCAGCATCAGCATCATCATCATCATCATCATCATCGTCGTCGCCAGCATCATCATCAGCACATCATCCTCAGCATCAGCATCCTCGTCATCATCACAATCACCAGTAACATCATCATCATCATCATCATCACCATCAACATCGTCACCATCATCAACATCATCATTATCCACTTTATCATCCTCATCATCCTCATCCGCGTCCACCTGATTATTATCATTCCCGTGGTCCTCCTGCCCATCAGCAACCTCATCATTCGAATCATCACTACCAACCTCATCATCACCACCATCATCATCACCATCATTATCATCACCAACATCACCATCGTCATCATAATTGACATCGTCGCCGTTGCCGTTACTACCATCATCATCAGCATCATCACCATAATCATCAGCAGCAGCAATATCCTCATTCTCATGCTCCTCCTCCTCCTCCTCCTCCTCCTCCTCCTCCTCCTCCTCCTCGAGAGGCGAACAAGGTCTGTGCCGCCCACACACCTCTCTGACCATCTCCGCGCATCCCGCCCTGCCTCTCCCGCCCTCGCTCGCTCGCTCCTCCCTCCCTCCCCCTGCGCTCCCCTGACCCTCCACTCGCCAGGACCCATCCCCCCAGAGCGGATTTTGACCCCGAGTAGTTTTTGGTGACGGTCTTGAGGCCATACGATGGCCCTCAGCATCCGAACATCTGACACCGTGCCTTCAGCGCTTAGTGGAGTGATCCAAGAGTCATGCAGACCTGGGAGGTAGAGGGTTTGCATGTTCTTCAAAGCCCGGAACCCGAAATCGCAGAATTACTGTGCGTCCCGACCGTATCCGGGGTTGGTCGCGCGGGCCTCCGGGACGGTGACCCTGCTCAATACAACCATAAGAGCACCAAGATTTCCTAAGCAACGCCCAAGAGCGTCCAAGAGAGCCCCGAGGCGGCCCTAAAACGCCCCAAGACTGCCCTCGACGGTCCACAGGGCCCCCAAGAAGCCACAAGCGAGCGGCAAGAGAACTGCTCAAAAGGCCGCCACATTCCAAAATCCTCCATTTTCCTTTCGCCTTTGATGAGTTTGAGCAGTCTCGCCTTTTTGTGTTCCCCACGCTCCAAGACGGCCCAAAAAGCCTTCAGCATTGCCCCAGGAGGCCCCCAGGAGAGCCCGCAAACGGCCAACGAGGGCACCCCAAGACCACACAAGAAGCCGCAAGACTGGCCCAGAGTGAGACCCAAGAAGGGCACCAGAGGGGAACACGAACCGACATTTCGAGCTCTCCTCCCCGAGCTGGCCCCCCAGACCGCCAGCAGGCCCCAGAGTCCCCAAGACGCCCCAAGAGGCCTCTGAGGCACCCAAGACGCCCCAACACCGACTCCAAGGCTTCCGAGAGGCCTTCCACGTGCTCCCCACCGGCGTACAGGAGGCCTCTGAACGACAGCCAAGGCGCGGCGGCGGGATGGGCCAAAGGCCACTAGATCCGCTGTCCCCAGTTGATTTATCAAAAGGGTGCCTGGCGTGCTGGAAGTCTGGGAAGCTTTGCTTCTGTTCTGAAAAAAACCTTGGGGCTTCGGCCAAGCCCACCAGCCACCCGAAGGCCGCGCAACGAACCACAATGATCACAACTCATCGCCCCAAAAACTCCCGATGGCCCAATATGGCCTCCAAGACGGCTAAGATGGCCCAGGGTAATGCCAAGACGCCTCCAAGACGGCTTAGTTGGCACCAATACGGCCCAAGATGGCTCCCAGAGAATCCAAGACGGCCCAAGAAGCGCTAACGAGGCCCTCAGACCTTAGTGGGGTCTGGAAACGGCAGGCCCGTTTCTTCACTGTTTCCGAAAAAGTGTCCCATGAAAATGGAAACGGCAAAACAACGGCGACCAGAAACGACAAACAAACGGCTCCAGAATTGGAACCGGGGCGGGAATCGGTAAACAAAAAAACGGCGACGGAACCGGTAACAAAAACGGCGTCGGAACCAACAAAAAACGGCAAAACGGAACCTGTAAAAAACGGCCCTGTCGTTTCCAGGGCCCACTAAGCCTGAGACGGCCCAAGGGGCCTCCGAAGGTTCTCCATGAAGGATTGGCGATTGTCTTAAAGCGGCCTTCCGACGGCCTAGGAGGCCCCAACAGGCTCCTCAGACGGCCCAAGACGACCTTCAAGACGACCCTGAAGCGCCCCAAGAAGGCCCCCAAACGGCCCAGAGAGGCTCCCAAGACGGTTCCCTCTGCTCATCCTCATCTTCCTCCCCCACGTGTTCCCCGAATATTTGCACAACGGCTGGGGGAACGCATGGTCTAATGGCGTGGCCAAACTTTGCCAAAACGTTTGACCGCATAGGCGTATCCTAAAAGGCAAGGGGCGGCGGTGATTCGCAGTAGGCGTCTTCGATCCGCCGCCCCCCATTGCTTGCCACAGGGGTGCACGGAGTGCCGAATGTTTGGCCAGTCTTTGGTTCTGTTCTAGAGAACTTCCTGTGTGGCTTCGGCCCAGCCCACCGGCAACCTGGAAATCCCAAGAAAAAAAACTCCGTTGCCCAAATCACCTCCAAGACGGCCAACATGGCTCAAGATAGTCTCCAAGACGGCCAAGATGGCCTCCAAGACGGCTCAAGAGGTTCCAAGATGCCTCCAAGTCCGCCCAAGAATCCACCAAGATGGCCCAAGAGGGCTCCAAAATAGCCCAAGACGGCCAACGAATCGCCCAAGAAGCGACCTATACGGCCCAAGAGGCCTCCAAAAGATTCTCCAGGAAGGCCCGAAGAGGTCAAAATCATTGAATGTCCGTAGGTGTTTGAAGCATTGTGGTATGTACGCGCTTCTTTTCAGCCCTCCGGCGGCCCAAGACGGCCCAAGACGTCTCCAAGATGGCCCCGTATGACAGCCCGAGAGGCCACCAAGACGGCCCCAAGGCACCTGGCTGTGCAGGCGTTTTGTGAAAGTGTTAGCAGGTAGCGGATTGTTGAAGGGGAACTGGGACACACAAATAAATAGACACAAATAAAAAGATTCCCCATATTTTCCCATATTTTCTGGGTTTCTGTCTTCCCCCCCACTTCCAATATTTTCCCATATTTTCCTGGGAGTCGACGATTAATTGTGTCTGTGTGTTTTTCCCCTCCTGAATTGTGAGAAAGTCCGATTCAGTCAGCATGTAGACTGAGCTGAAGTTTCTCCAAAAGCAGCTCGACGCCGCGGCCGAATCTCGAGACCCTCCGATGCAGCCTGAAGTGGGATTGCCCTGGAGTTCAAGCAAGCTTCAAGCAAGCAGCGTCGAGAAGCCCAGCGATTTTTCAAGAGGGTGGGGCGCGAGAGGGAGGAAGGGGGGGAGTTCGAGACACGCCAGAGACCTCAATTTTCAGTCTGCGGGGGAGTTTTTCGAAATCGCGCCTCCTCCCACCACCATTGAAAAACTCTCGCGTCGCCAGTTTCCTAGCTGCGGAGGGGTGTCTCAAAAGTGCCGCCCCCCCCCCTTCCCCCCCTCCCTCCACCACCAAAGACACGCACACACACCCAGACCGAAGAAGCCCCCACGAAGCCTCCAAGAAGGGTGGGCGGGGCCTTGAGACTCAGGGCCGGGCTTCAGGTGTCTGGGCCCCCCCGATCTGCCTGCGAGCCGCAGCCCCTGACCCAGACCGGAGGAAAACAAGACTCTGATGGCCGCGCCGAGCCGCCTTCGCGGGCGGGCGCGCACAAGGCGGCGGCGCTGCAGCGCAGAGAGGAGACAAGAAATAAGGGGAAGGAGGAGGAAGTGACGAGGACGAAGGGGGAAACGACCGCTGCGCACAACGCGCGGCGAGGGCGCACGGGGCGACGACGCGGCCGCAGCGCGTGAGCCACCAGACCTGTGCCCGTCCGAGAGGCCCCCATGACGGCCCAGAGAGGCCCCCAAGGCGGTTTCGGACGGCGTCAGATGGGCTAGGAACGCCCTCAGACGGCCTACGAGCCGCCCAAGGAGCCCCCAAGGCCTCCCAAAGACGCAAGCAAGCCCCCAAGAGGCCTCCAAGAGGCCCCCAGGAATCTCCCAAGAACCCCCAAGAATGTCCCAAGAGTCTCCCAAGAGGCATCCTCCTACTCCTCCTCCTCCTCCTCCTCCTCCTCCTCCTCCTGCTCCTCCTCCTCTTCCTCCAACTCCTCCTCTGCTTCTTTCTCCCCCTCGTGCGCCCTGAAGGCTTTCCTCTATGGCTGGGGAATCGCACAGAACGACCGCTATGTTCGCCCAAAGAGGCGGTTCCGAAAAGCAGGGGGCGGCGGGGATTCCCCAACGGGCGCCTTCGATAGCAAACAACCTCACCTCCTGATGCTTTCATCGGCGCTTCGACTTGGGAGGAAGGTGAGGGAGAGGGGGGGTCTGACTCCAGACCTCTACTTAGTGCGACTGTTTGTAAGAGTGCTGCCTGTGGGAGAAACCCCAGCCGCCCGAAACAGGCGCCACAAAACAGCCAAGATCTACTCCATGAGGGGGGGATGGAGGGGTGCGAGGGCCCGCGCCGATCGGCAAAGCTGCGAATCAAAAAAATACCACATCACATGGACCCCTGGAGGCCCAGGCCCACTCCCTGGGGCCTGATTTCCACTGGGGAGCAACGATAGGGGGGGACTGGCATAGGGGGGGATGCATCGACCTGGAATCGGCGATACATCGCCGATAGATCAGCGGTAGGCCCCCGATAGTGAATTCGCACCTTCCTGGGCAGGTTGGGGCTATCGGGCCCCTATCGGCGATCCATGGGCGATTGGGGGTCGATGCATCCCCCCCTGTGCCGATCCCCCCCTATCGTTGCCCCTGATGGGGCCGGTCTTCCTCCTGCGTCGTTTCTCGACGGCCCCCGGCGCTTGGGCGAGGGCCCCCCCCAGCCAGAGAAAAAGCCTGGCGCCGGGACCTCGTCGATAGATCAGCGGTAGGCCCCCGATAGTGAATTCGCACCTTCCTGGGCAGGTTAGGGCTATCGGGCCCCTATCGGCGATCCATGGGCGATTGGGCTTGTCGTGACGCGAAGGTGTCTGGGATCGCGGGCCCAACAGTCGACCCCGGGGCCTCTCCCGGGGCGCGTGCGGGCCAGGCCGTGGAGGCGAACCCGGCCGTGGCGACGAGGAGCCCCCCGAGGTCCAAAGATAGAGGGCAGAACATCCACCCCGATTTGGGCGCCCGAGTTATCCAGGGTAACTCGGGTCCGGGGCAACGCGGGCTTGGATTCCCGAAAAACGAACCCGAGTTAGCCCTGACCCGAGTTACCCCTGATGATTTGGGGCTCTGGACGCCCGAGTTATCCGGGGTAACTCGGGCCCGGGCTAACTCGGGTTCGGAATCCCGAAAAGCAAACCCGAGTTAGCCCTGACCCGAGTTACCCCTGATGATTCGGGGCTCTGACCGATGGTAACCACCCCGGCACGCGAAGCCGTTTAGTAAACGCACCCACAGGAATCAAACAGGGCAGGGGATGCTCAGTGAACGCCCAGGGCCGTTTGGCAAACGCCGATTGTCCGGTCCGGGTGGTTCTCCCTCCCCTGCCTCGCTCCTCGAAGGCCGAAGTTACTGTACAGGGCAGTTTTTAAGACATGGGAATTTCTATTATATGATCTTAATACATGATTAATGTATGAATAAATTTATGCATGAACTCACTGTTGTTTTTCATTCTAATCCCCTGCATGTTTCATACATGATCCGCACGCGGAGCATGTGTTAAAAACGGCACGGTACTTTTGAGCTGTCCCGGCACGAGGGGGTCTACTCCAGATGTCGTAATAAAAGGGAGGGGGTCTGGACCCTCCAAGACAAGCCATTTCAGACCCCCCCCCGTGGGAGAACCCTCCAAAACACCGTCCCCACACCCCCCCAGGCCCTCCAAGATAGCCTGGAAGAGACCCCCCCCCCGAAATGAGACCCCCCTCCCTTTATTACGAAATCTGGAGTAGCTTCCAGGGTGCCCGTGCGTCCTCCTCCTCGCAGAGCTTGCTGCGCAGCGTGCGGGCGGCGCACTCGAGGACCAGCTGCGGCAGGCCGCCGCCGCCGCGCAGGCCGAAGAGCGCCTCGGGCACGAGGACGCGCTCCTCGCGGCTCAGTGGGCGGCGGGCCTGGGGCTTGGACCCGTCTCCAGCCAGCAGAGAGGGCGGGCAGGTCTGAGCTTGTGTTGGTTTGCTTTGGTTTTGTTGTTGTTGTTGTTGTTGTTGTTATTGTTGTTGTTGTTGTTGGTGGTGGTGGTGGTGGTGGTGGTGTTGTTGTTGTTGTTGTGATCTTGTAATTACTGTTTTTGCATCTTTCGGTCTCCGAGGGCTATTTTCGGGCCCCGGGACGTCAAAAACGGATCGCGGGTGAAAAACTGCACCAGATGGACCCCGGTAGGGGTCCGGGGATCGATTTTGAAAGGGTTTGGCCCGACCCCCCTCCTGACCGATTTTCTGGGGTCCCATTCAGACTTGCCCCCGCGTCTCCAACGTGGGCGCGTGCATTTGCGACGAGCGAAATGGGCAAAAAACTGGGTACAAAGACCGATAGCATGTCCTGCTCATTCTGAGCTGGGTTCACTGTCGGCATAACCGTGGGCGTGGCCCATTTGAGACACAAGGCTAACGGCCGCGTCCGGTTTTGGACAACATGTGCTGTTGGGTAATTATCGTACCCATTCGTACCGTTGTTTCGCGGATGCCTCGCGCGGAACGTGTCCGTGCGAACAGCGTATCCGCGGGATCGCGCCCTGGAGTCTCGATTGCGAGGGCGCGGATACCGATCATGTTCGCCGCTCGTGAGGCGTTCGTACCGGGAGGCTCAGAGCCAGAGGAGCCTCGGACCTCTCGGGCGGCCTGATGCTTTACATCCGGGCGGTCTTTCTCGACGATATCGACCTCCCGGGCCCGCGTCCAAGCCCCCGGGGCCCTGCAGAACGGATCTGGAACGAGACGCTGCGGTCGGGAACCTGTGCTTCGCGTGTCGAGGCATGCTTTAGTCGCGAAAAAAAAAAAGTCGAGGCATGCGATGCCCTCTGCGAGCTGGCAGCGTGTCCCTCCGCCAGCTCTGCGGGGCGGGGGGACCCGGGAAAGCCCCGGGGCGTGGACGCGTCGGGTCTGCGAGGTGGGCAGCGTGCCACGCCGAATTTGCGTCGAAGCGCGGTGGGCCAGCATCCGGCGGCGCGACACGCGAAGGCAACGCTCCTGACCTTTGGACACCCGAAATGGGTACCGAAAGAATGGGCAACATGCCCAACAACAAATGTTGTCCCGAACCAACAGCGGCCGCTGTTGGGCAGGCGGCCTTCTGTCTCGAATGAACACAGGCCGCGGCGGCGCGGACAGCGAGTCCGGTTCGAAATGAACAGGAACTGCTGTTGGGCATCGTACCCATTCTTTCGTACCCATGTCGGGCGTCCAGATGACCGCACCCCGGGGGGAAGTGGCCCGGACCTCTGGGGCCGAACGTCGAAACAATCATGTTGCTTCGAGCGACTCCCACTCAGGGTCGCGAAGCTAGAGGCCTCCTAGATGGGGTCGGAGTAGGTAGGGTCGGAGGATCGCGCCGCATCGGCGATACATCGGCGATGCATCGGCGATGCATCGGCGATGCATCGGCGATGCACTGGCGATGCTTCCGCGACGTCGGCGACTCATCAGCGACGTCCGCGTGAAGGAAATCTGGCTCCGCACCGAGCCGCATCGGCGATGCGGCGCGATCCTTCGACCCCACCTATACTCCGACCCCATCTAGGAGGCCCAGACAAGCGGTATACCCAGTGAGCACTGGCACACCTTGGGCCTGGGCGGCCGCGGCGGGGGGGCGGGACCCCATGTGCGGGTCGGGCGAGCGGGGCATGAGCTTAGGTCGGGCCTATCCCCCTACAGGCGGATCTTGGACGCTTCGCCACTGCTGGAGCCTTGGGCCTGGAAGGCCGCGGCATGCAACCGTCGCTCGTCGGAGGCACGAGGCGGGATGCCCGCGGAGCACCGGCAGGCTCTGGGCCCGGCGGCCGCGGCGCGCAGGGAGCGCGAGGCGGGTCCAGAGCTCTTGTCGGCGGCCAGCCCGGGGGGGAAGTGTTAGGTCGGGCCTATCTGAAGGGGCCCTGGGACACACAAATAAATACACACAAATAAAAAGATTCCCAATATTTTTCTATATCTTCTGGGTTTTTGTCTCCCCCACCACTTCCCATATTTTCCCATATTTTCCTGGGAATCGACGATTAATTGTGTCTGTGTGTTTTTCCCCTCCTGACTATCCCCCTACAGGCGGACTTAGGACGAGAAATAAAACAACCACCCCAAACATGCCCCAAACATAGTCCAAATGGTCAACCAACAATCGTCCCCAGACTATGTCTGTCGGACTATTCCGGGGTGTTCCTCCTGCAGAGGGACAGGCCCGACGTAAGCACAAGCTGGCGGGCGGTCTCTCGCACGCTCGAGCGGGCGGGGCCCCGTCGGGCAGGTTGGGCGGGCGGGACCCGTGACGGGCGGGTCGGGCGGGGCTGGGACATTCGAGCGGCCGGGTGGGCTTCCCAACCATGGAGTCGGCCGGCCGGGACCACGACGGGCAGGTGGGGCTGGCGGGGCACTGAAGCGAGCGGACGGGCGGGCCTGTCAGCATTCGAGTCGAGTGGTCGGGGCCCTGTGGGAGGGTCGGGCGGCTGACGGGAGGTTCGGGCGGGCGGAACGTTGAAGCAAGCGGGCGAGTGGGCCACCGAATGTAAAGCCTCGCTTGCTATCGAGACGCGTCGTCGTCGTCAGCGTCAGTGTCGACGTCAGTGTCGTCGTTGCTGTCGTCGGTAGCGTCGTCATCATCATCGATGTCGTCGTGGTCGTTATTGTGGTCAGCGTTATCATCGTCGCGTTCGTCGTGTTCGTCGTCATTGTTTCCGTCGTCGTCGTCGTCGTCGTCGTCGTCGTCGACGTGTTCGTGGTCATGGTACCCGTCGTCGTCACCGTAATCGTCGTTGTGCGTGGTCGCCGTCGCCGTTGTCACACGACGTCGTCATCTCCGTCGTCGTCCTTGTTGTAAGCTGGCCGTCGCCATCATCAGAATAATCATCATTTACTGGCTCGAAAGGGGGGAAGGAGGCTTGTAACCCTCCCGACACCCACTTTCGGAAGGGGGAGGGTGTTCCCCCCCCAGAATTTAGGGGGGAGGGGAAGTTAGAGAGGGTACCATTGACTTTGGGCAGCGGGTGTACTGGTCAAAACCCCCCACACCCCTGAAGCGCAAGAGCTCGACCACAAGAAACCTTCCACGAGAAACCCAACCCTGACACCCCCGGACGTCCATTGATTATTGGTGTGGGAACGTCACGGCTTCCACAGCAGAACCATCGAAATCCAAGACGCCCAGGGGGCACCCTGGAGGCAAGCAGGGCGGGCTTCTGGGCATGGGTCTCCACTGTCAAGCGCTCTGTCGTACACCCCCTTCCAGTGCTACCCTGGGCCGCAGCGCTTGCGACTTCACTATCCGTCAGCACGAGCTGGAAACGATACCGCCAGCACGAGCTGGAGACGATACAGTCGGGGCGTTGACCTAAGGAACCCTAAATAAGGAACGGGGCCCCTTCCTCCCATAAGTTGAGCTTCGACTTCCCAAGGAAGACCTCAGGAAAACAAAAAGCAGACTGCAGAACAATCAAGGAACACCGAGCCCCTTCCCAACGAAAAGGGCTCCTTCTTCAGGGCCCCGACTGTACTTCCTGCCTCTTCAGGGCAACTTCGCCGAGCTGGCGTGACGTCGGCGCGCGCCCCCGCGCGCGGCCCCGGCTCGCCCGCGCTCTGGCCCCCCGGGGCGTCTCGCTCGCTCACGGGCCGTACGCGGCGTGGCCGACGCTTTCCCTTTCTACGAGTGGGGGACACTGACTGGCCACCAGTGCCAGTGTCAGTGTCAGGAGGAGGAGGAGGAGGAGGAGGAGGAGGAGGAGGAGGAGGAGGAGGAGGAGGAGGAGGATGGGGATGAATGAGGAACAGCAAAGGCAGGAGGCGTAGTGGAGGACGACGACGCCGATGACGACGACGGCAGGGCGCGGCGTGCAGGAGCTGCCACGATGGAGCGTGAGATGTTGCAGCCTCTTTGGCCCGGGGTCTCAGGGAGTACCTTTTCCTGCGAGGGTCTCAGGGTGTACCTTTTCCTCTAGCGGGTGGCGGCGCTCTCTCACGATCACGAGCGGCCCTCCCGATCCGAACCCAAACCTCCGACGTCATGATTTGTTATGGCGTTTGCCCCAGAGGTTTGGACCCCTTCCTAGGGACCTGAACCGTTTTTTTGTGAAGGACCCGGGGCCCGGCGAGGGCCCCCAGAGGCTGAAAATAATAGAACCCCTCCCGTCGTGACTCGTCCAGCAGAGAGGGGAGGTGGGGGTCTCTCGCGATCGCGACTCGACCTCCAGAGCCAAACGGACCAACTGCACCTGCGTCGACTGGGCGCGCGCGCCACCCCTGGGGCCCCCCAGCGGCTCTAGAGAAACAGACGCTGGCATGAACAGAAACTTTCGGCGCTCCGCGCGGATTTCTTGGATCGGCGCTGGACCCCCTCCCTCCCTGGCGCGCGGAGCGCACCAGGGGCGGCGCTCGAGGCGCCGCCATGGGGGCTGCAGCGCCAATCCAAGAAACCCGCACGGACCTCCGACAGCTCACCCATCGGTCGTCCTCCTCCTCCTCCTCCTCCTCCTCCTCCTCCTCCTCCTCCTCGGGAGAAGTAGGTAGAAACACGAACTAGGAAGGCGGCGAAAATAGATTGGGTATCCGCCCGCCCCCTAAGGAGGACGGAAAAGGTGAAGCCACTCAACCATGGAACCAGGGAGGCGCCGAAAGAAGTTTGGAGTCCGGGACTCCACAAATACCTCCCCTCAACGACCGATGGGGCTCGCTGTTTGTGCCATCAGCTTTGTTCCTCGAGGCTCCTCGCCCAGCTCCACGTCGCCGGAGCAGGGGGGCGGGGACCGGACCTCGATGGGCTGGACCTTCAGGTCGTCGCCTCCGGATGTTTTTGTTGCTTGCTACCGAAGGGGGCGGTGTGCACAGGGGGCGCGGCGGCGGCCAGCCCCACGGGGGCTCTCGCCAACCCACCGGCGCCTGCCGCCGTCCCCCCGCCCTCCCCTCCACAATTACTCAATATGAAAACTACTCTCCTCCTTCCCCTGATGACGGGTTGGGAGTGTTCGCCCCCCCCCCCCGCGTACTGTTTTTTACACACAGGATTCCCCGGAGTTGGGTTTTCGCTTGCATTTTTTTTTTCAAAATGCTGCTCTCGCTGAGGCGCGGGCCTCTTTTCCGGCCCGTGCTCCCGCTGCAGCGCTGGCCGCTGCATTGCAATGGCTCTTCCGCTGCGCGATTGCCGCTGTGCTGCTCCAATGCGCTACCTCGCCATGCTCCCGCTGCAGCGCTGGCCTCATTTGCTCGCGCTTCCGCTCGTTCCGAATCGTGCTCCCGCTGCAGCGCTGGCGTCATTTCCCGTGCCATGCCACGGCATGCAATGCAATGCTAGGTTGCGTTCCGCTGCGCGATGCCATGCCTTCAGCTGAAGCTGTGATATGCAGTGCTTAAGTGCCACGTCGTGCTATGCCATGCTACGCTTTGATATTCAACGCCATGCTATGCAATATTATGTTCGGGGCCAAGCTTTGTGATGCAATTCTTCACTACGCCACGCCACGCCATGCTGTGACATGCTACGCTTTGCGGTGCTCTTCTACGCCATGCCATGCCGTGCTCTACAATGCATCGCGTGCCCTGCTCGACATCCGACTGTGCGAGTAGAGAGGGGATCTACGCCATGGTAAGGGATTGGAGGGAGGGGTAGGATGTCAGAGATGACGCGAGCGCACCTAGCTTGCCTCCCCCCTCCTCCTCCTCCTCCTCCTCCTCCTCCTCCTCCTCCTCCTCCTCCTCCTCCCCCTCCTCCCCTCCTCCCCCTCCCCTCCCCTCCCCTCCCCCCCCCCTTCCCCCTCCCCCTCCCTCCCTCTCCTCCTCCTCCTCCTCCTCCTCCTCCTCCTCCTCCTCCTCCTCCTCCTCCCTCCTCCTCCTCCTCCTCCTACTCGTCCTCCTCCTCCTCCTCCTCCTCCTCTCCTCCTCCTCTCCTCCTGCTCCTCCTCCTCCTCTCTCCTCCTGCTCCTCCTCCTCCTCCTCCTCCTCCTCTCCTCCTCCTCCTCCTCCTCCTCCTCCTCCTCCTCCTCCTCCCCTCCTCCCCTCCTCCCCTCCCTCCCCTCCCCCCCTCCCCTCCCCCTCCCCTCCCCCCCCCTCCCCCCCGCCCCCGCCACCTCCTCTCCTCCTCCCCCGCACCCTCCTCCCTCCTCCTCCTCTCCTCCTCCTCCTCTTTCTTCCTTCGACCGCATCGCCGCCACCGTCCTCGCGGCGCGGGCTCCCCGGGCAGACACGGAGGAGCTGTAAACGGCTCCTCCTCCTTCTCTTCCCTCCTCCTCCTCCTCCCTCCTCCTCCTCCTCCCCCCCCTCCTCCTCACTCCTCCTCCTCCTCCTCCTCCTCCTCCTCCTCCTCCTCCTCCCTCCTCTCCTCCTCCTCATCTCATCATCATCATCATCATCATCATCATCATCATCATCAATCATCATCATCATCATCATCATCCTCCTCCTCACTCCTCCTCCCCCCTCCTCTCTCCCCCCTCTCCTCCTCCTCCTCCTCCTCCTCCACCTCCTCCTCCTCCTCCTCCGCTGATCGGCTTTGTGGGTGTTGCTCTTCGCTTTCTCGAGATGGTCCAGGGTGCTCCGAGACGGTCCAGATGGTCTGGCGCTGGTCGCGCCGAGAATGGAAAGACAAGTCCGAGCGGTGCCAAGGCGTGGGGGCAGGATGACACGGGGGGGAAGAACCCCGGATGTAAAGCGATCCAGAAAGCTCATGTTGGCGATGAGGACCCCGAGTTTGAAGGGGAGTCCGAGGCCTCGTACGCCCACCTGACTGCCTTTCGGGCCAACCCAGGCCCAACCAAGCTCCCCCCCTCGTCGCCTCTGCCGCTGCTGCAGATGTCTCCCCGGGAGCCTCCCGGAAGCCCAGAAGCAGGAGCAGAAGGCTGCGAGAGCGCTGGGGCAACATCAGCAAGTCCCAGGGACGGGCTACATCGCCCTCTGCCCGCCCCTCCCCCCTTTCGCGCACTCCACCCCTCTCTCCCTCCTCGGTCCCTGGGAGGCTTCGCTGCTACAAGCGCCTGGGGCAGGCTGGAGATTTCGGCCGCCACCTCCTCCCTCTTCTCATCCTCCTCCTCGTCGTCGTCCTCCTCCTTCTCCTCCTTCTCATTATCCTTCCTGCTCCTCATCTGGGGAGCCCGAAGACAGAGGACGAGGAAGAGGCATTAGAACGAGCAGGCATCTATTCCGACTGCGTGTGCCGCGCTCGTGCGCGTACATGCGCGACGACCACCACAGACGACCTGCTGAAGCAGAAACAACGGGGTCGTGAGCGATGGGCACAGAAAGCTTTTTGCTTTTCCCCCTCCACCGGACGAGCCACCAACATGATGCTGACTCCAACTGAAAGCCACGGCACCAGGCGAGGTGGGGGGAGGAGGTGCGCGTACGGGCCCTGAGAAAAAAAGGAGAGGCGGAGCAGAGGGGGCCGAGGAGGGAGCGAGGGTAGCGGGAGCGGTGGGAACAGAAAGCTGGCATGGGGGAAACGGGTCCCGAGGGGAACACTGTCCTGGACCCTTGCGCCTCCCCCTAGGACGAGTTTGTCATCCTGCACCGTTGTCTGACAGTCCCGGGACTCGTGGAGGACCCCGAGAGCTCCCAAACTGCCAAGTATCTCAGGACCGTCCGATTCCTCCCATGGCGAAGAGGGAGGACAAGCAGGACACGGAGGGCACAGAGGAGGCGAGGGGGCGCAGGGGGGACGGAGCAGGGCGACGAGGGAGATGGGGAGAAGGGGGAGGAGGGGCTGGAGGCGGGGCTGGAGATTGGGGGGGGCAACGAGAAGGGCGGACTGGCACAAGGCGGGGGGCGCATTGGCCTGGCATCGGCGATGCATCGTCGATATCGATCGACGGTACGCCCCCGAGAGCGAGATCGCACCTCCCTGGGCGGGTTGGGGCCATCGGGCCCACATCGGCGATCCCTGGGAGTTTCGGGATCGATGCATCCTCTCCCCCCTATGCCTACACCCTGCGAAATTGTTAAGAAATCATGGGTTAAGAAATTCATAGTCTCAGAACTTCAATAAAAACCCAACGTGTCTGTTAAAATATTAAGATTCACATTGAAACGTCAAGAATAATCGAGACTCTGGCCGAAAACTTAAGTTTTCTTAAGCATCGCCTAAGATGTATCCCCCCCCTATCGCTGCCCACGCGGAGAGTAGGAAGGGGCGAGAGAACGAGGTGGACGACGGAGACGAGGAGGGCAACAATCGACGGGCCCCGCCTGAGGCCAGCCGGTCGCGCACGCTGCGCACGCCGTACGGGGACGGCGGCGCCACGTAGCAGTGCTGCTCCTCCGCACAGGAGCCGCTTCGGCGGACAACACGGCGTGATTCAGGAGAGGCGAGGGGACCACGGGGGCTGAGCTTGGGAGGGGGATGATGAAACTGCTGCTGATGACTATGGTAAAGATGTTGGTAGTGGTGATGATGATTATGATGTTGGTGCTGATGATGATGATGATGTTGATGATGATGATGCTGATGCTGATGATTATGATGATGGAAATGGTCAGGATCATGACCATAATGATGCCGATGGCGATGGTAATGATGCTAATGATACTGCTGCTAATGATGCTGATGATGACGATGCTGATGCTGACGATGCTGATGCTGCGGTTGATAATGATGACGACGGGCTATGGTGATTATGAGGATGATACTGACGCTGATGATGATGATAATGTTGATGCTGATGTTGACGATGGTGATGCTGCTGATGGTGGTGGTGATGATGGCGATAACGGTGATGGTGATGGTGATAGTGGTTGTCGCGGTTATGATGTTGAGGAGGAGGGTGATGATGATGGTAGCGTTGATGATGATGATGATGATGATGATGATGATGATGATGATGATGATGGTGGTGACGATGGTAGTGATGATGACGGTTGTGATCAAGCCATGATAGAGGGACGTGTGCTCGGCAGGGGGATGGGCCGTGTCGCTTATAAGAGACGAGGGTTCAGGAGACGAGGAACTGGTACAGTTTAGAGTATAAGACGAGGAGGGGGGATAGGAGATAATTCAGGAGGAATGCAAGAACGCAGAAGGGAGCATGTGCACATCGAGAGGGCGAATGGTGGGGGGATGAGAGTGGAGTAGTTATACGCGTCGGGATGGGGGAAGGACCTCGCCGACAAGAAGGGCGCGCCGAGTCCGCAGAGCCGCGCGCTGGCCGGCGCCACCGTGCGCCTCTCGAGCAGACCGCCCCTCCCGTGGCTCCGCGCGGGGCAGATGGGCGCCCGGGCGGCCTGGCTGTCGGCTCTGCACCGCGAGCCGCCGCGACGCCCCGCTGCCGCAGCACCCTCGACAACCCCCCTGCATCGCTCATAAAACATGGCTAGGATCAGGATAAATCGCTCCAGAGCGTTCCTGAGCGCTCTCAGAGCGTTCCGGAACGCTCTGGAGCGGCCGCGGCGCCCAATACATTCTCCAAACCCGCCGATTCTCAGAGATTTCGAATTATCCCGATCCGATGTTGTCCCGATCTTCGCGTCGTTTTAGCTCAGCTCCCGGCGGGCTCGCCGTGCAGGGCGGGGACCCGCTGCGCCCCCCCCCGGCGGCACCGGCGGCAGGGCGGCGGACGAGGCCCGCCGTGTGTGCGGGTGCGAGCGGCGAGGCGGCGAGGCGCGCTGGACGGGGGGCCGCTGATCACCCCCATGAGCCAAGAATTGGAGGACGGAGCACACACAGACACACACACACACACACACACACGCTTGTTGGCGTCTCGGCCTCGCGCGCGGCGGCGCGGCGTGGAAAGGGACCGATCGAGCGCGCGCACCAGCCTGGCTCACGCAGCTCCACGCACACGGACCACACGCCACACACACCACAAACACACGCACACACGCACCATTTTGGCTGTCGCGGCCTCGCGCGCAACGACGAGGCGGAGTAAGTCGGACACACACACACACAAGCGCACACACACACCGGCAGTGTTTGGCGGTCGCGGCCTCGCGCGCAGCGACGAGGCGAAGCAAGTCAAGATACGCGCGCACACACACACACACACGCACCACCCAGAAACACACACACGCACACGCACCACCCACAAACACACACATACCCATAGCACACACACAGAGACACAGAAGCAGCAACAGCACACACACGCACACACGCACACACGCACACACGCAAGGGCATAGAGGCACACAGGTACACAGGCACACGCACACACACACACACACACGCACACACGAACATTCGCACACAAGGACACACGCACACGCGCACACACGCTTATTCGCACAACCGCAGACACGCAGATACGCGCACACACGCACGCCACTCACGCAACCACGCGCACACGCACACACGCACACACGCACACATGCACCCACACACACACACACGAACACACGTACACGTGCACTCACGCACACACGCACACACGCACAAGCGCACACACGCATACTTTTTTGGTCGGCGGCCGTGCGACAAAGGTCAGCCGGCAACAGGCGTGTCCGGGACGGCGGAACAGGCAAATTCCACGCTAGGCGTGCAATGCACATGCACGGAGCAGAATGCCCCGCATTCACAAAAATGCACCTAACACACACGCATACACGCACACACGCACACACGCTCGCACGCGCGCACACACGCACACACGCACACACGCACACGCGCGCACACATGCACACACGCACAACCACAACTATACAAAACCACACACACAACCACATAACCACAGTCAACCACACACAACCATACACAACCACATACAACCTCACACAATCAGACACGCACACACACACACACACACACACGCGCATACGCTCACACACACGCAATCACGCACGCACGCACGCACGTACCCCCCACCCCACCCACACACACACATACATACATACATACATACATACATACATACATACATACATACATACAGACATACAGACATACAGACATACATACATACATACATACATACATACATACATACATACACACACGCGCACACACACACGCACGCAGGCACACGCGCACTCAGGCACGCATGCACGCATGCATTAACACGGACGCACACGCGCACACACGCACACACACACACACACGCACATGCACGCTTTTTGCCGGTTACGCGCGGCTGAATCCAAACCACAGGTGCAAGTCAACGGAGCTCGCATACTTCAATTTGGATCCCTTGTGATTCAGTGGAATCACGAAAAACGCACACGCACACGCACGCACTTAATCACAGACTTTGGACGTCCGCGGACGGCAGATTTCCGAGGGGGCACGACGCCAGCGGAAATTTACCATCCGCAGACGTCCGAAGTTGTTTTGGGCATGTGCACTTTTATGTTCGCCGTTCAGGCCAAGCTCGTGCACCAACCTAGAGCACCTAAACATCGCGTATCGCGCTCTGCGATGCATGACTTGAGGTTCACTTCGTGCGTCGCCCTATTTGGAGAGGGGCGTCGCGCGACTCGCGATTGTCTTCGCGCTCCCGCGGGTGAACTAGAACAACCCTCGGGAACGGCAAGGTCTGAATCAAGGAGAGTGATTTCCAAGGATGCTGGAGCGCCTCAGGCCGAGCTGGGGGGGCCTCAGGCCGGGCTGGGGGGGCTCAGGTCCAGCGCAACGAACCTTGTCCAACGAACCCTTCTGGAAACCTCCGACACCCAACGACCGTTCGGGGATGGACAGACCCCCCTTTAGTAAAACGTGGTTTAGTGAAAACGACCTCGGGCCCAAACCTGGCGGGCGCAAGCCTGGAAAATAACGGCCGCGGCGCCCTCTCGAGAACCGAAAACAGACAAATCACTAATCGACGTGTCACTGTTGGGGGTTCTGTCCACCCCCGATCCTCGGAGGGCAATCGGCTTCTCGTGTCGGCAGTGGGCAGAGCTTTGGGAGGGCTGTCCTGGATGCGGGAGAACTCCTGGGGGGGCTGCGCGGTTCCTGAGGAAAGCCGACTGTGCTCCCTGTGTCTCGGTGATGTTCGCACCAGCCGTGTCCCTTCTCGACCTGCTCCGTGGTCGTGCTTAGCCCGCATCCCCGATTCGACACTCGCCGACCGAGCCGATTGCTGCCTCGCTCTCGAAGTAACCTGTACCTAGCACTCATGGATGCTCAACGATCTGACTATCTTAAGTGAGGCCTCTGCCGCGACGCCGCTCAATCACCATGACGTTCACAACAGCTGCAGCTCACCTTGAGCTCACCGAGCTCCTCGAGGACGCGACGTGCGTGGCTGCTCGCCTGGGTCTTCGGCCGCGGGCGGCTTCTGAAATGTTCGTCGTTCGGCTTCGCCCCCCCCTGCGTGCGGATCGAGTGCTCTTCGCAAGGCAGCCCGCTCCTCTGGCTCCTGGCAACTATCGTGCTACCATTACTCCTGCCCGTGCTCTCGCCTTGAGTTCCTCCCCCTCCACCTTCTCCTCCTCTTCCCTGCTGCTGCTCTTCCTCCCCTCTGCTCTCCCTCGTCCTCGTCCTCTCCACGTCCTGTGAAGAGAGCATGTGCACCAGGACATCCTCGGGGCGACCACGAGACACGTGAACAACGTGCCTCGGGGACGCCCTGAGAGCAGCCGTGCAGGCAGCAGAAACAGCAGGAAACGCGGCAGAGGCGCACCGCGCGGCGCCCGGCGACGCGGCGCTCCTTCATGTCTCGGCACCAGGTCATGACCTGGCGCTGCCATCCCCGCACGGCCCTCCTCGCAGGGCCATGCTGCAGTAGCGGCGCATTGTCTCTGTAGTGGCGCCACCCTGGCGCAGAGACTTCCACACGGTGCGAGGCAGAGAACCCAATTGATTCATTCGCTCTGAGGCCCAGCCGAATGCATGCGGACCACGAGGGAGAAGTGAAATAAACATGACACCGATCGGCTAAATGGAGCAGGAGGATGGGATCCGCGTCATGCTGGATCCCAACAGAATTCGGTAGGGCGTGTCCCCCTACAGGCGGATTTCGGACGAGCAATTCTACATAACCAGAACATGTTCCCAAATAGCCAAACAATATTCAAAACACGTCCCCCTACTTGTTTTCTGGACTAATTCTGCATACTCCTCCTGTGTAGGGGCAGGCCCGACTTAAGGCTAGATACAGTCGGGGCGCTGAAGAAGGAACCCTTTTCGTTGGGGAGGGGCTCGGTGCTCCTTGATTGTTTCAAAGTTTGCCTCGCGTTTTCCTGAGGTTTTTCATCGGAAATCGAGGTTGAACTCATGGGAAAAAGGGGCCTCGTTCCTTATTTAGGGTTCCTTAGGTCAACGCCTCGACTGTAGAGCAGGAGGAGGGGCTCCATGCCATGCGGGATCCCCACGGAAACCTGGGCCCTCCGACGGCGCGCCTCGCCCCTGGCAGCGCGCAGGGTGTGATATTCTCTTCGCGCGGGCGCGCCGCCCTCCTCGCCATCGCTCGGACGTCCATTCCGTTTGATTTTTTCGGTTACATGCGTGGTTGTTTCACCAAATGATCAAGGATGCTCCTCGATGGTCCTCGCCGACAGAAAAAAAACACACGTCCGAGCGATGCGAAGCCCTTCCCGAGGGGCCAGGGCAGGTGGGCTCCTCTGGGTATATATCTCGTGCTTCGCTGCCCCGAGGCGCAACGAGCAACACAACGCGTACTGATACGGAGCTCAACCCGTGGACCGATTTGGACGCCCGAAATGGGTAGCGCAGGAATGGGTACAATGCCCAACAGCAAATGTTGTCCCAAACCAACAGCGGCCGCTGGTGGGCAGGCGGCCTCCCGTCTCGAATGGACGCAGGCCGCGGCGGCGTGGACAGCGAGCCCTGTTCAAAATGAACAAGATCCGCTGTTGGGCATTGTACCCATTCTTTCCGTACCCATTTCGGGCGTCCAAAGACCCAGCCCCCTCCCCCCCTCCCCCCCCGGGAGGGACCAACTCCGTCGTCTCCGACGAACGGATTTTCTCAAGCCGTTCAATTTCTCGATTTCGGCCTCTAGGGTGCGTCAGTGTGCCCCGGGACCATCGAAAATGGATCTGGCGCGAGGATCTGGTGCAGAGAGATGAGAGAGAAGGGAAAGCTCCCGCGGTTCTGCCGCCAGCCAGCGCCTCGGCCCACTCGGCCGGACGGCCCCGTCGGCCTCCGAGCGTCGGCGGCTCCGGGTGCGGCGCCGGTCGGCGCGGGCGGCTCCAGAGCGCTCTCCAGGACGCTTCGTGCAGGCGCCTGGTCTTGGGCCGCCCTCCTCCTCCTCCTCCTCCTCCTTCTCCTCCTGTTCCTCCTCCTCCCCCTCCTCCTCCCTTCCTGCTCCTCCTCCTCCTCCTCCTCCTCCTCCTCCTCCTCCTCCTCCTCCTCTAGGGTGCGTCAGTGTGCCCCGGGACCATCGAAGACGTAGGTCTGACGCGATACGTCCGCCAACACGTGGCACAAGACGTTGCCAACGCGCGGCGCACTGGACACGGACGTCTGGAGCACGTTTTGCGCGCTGCGCCCACACGGGCGCATATCGAGGCCGCTGGGCTCTCCTGCGGCGCAGGCGCCCGAGGCCTGCAAACGAGTCCGCAGGGCGCCACGACGGCGCCACCTCCAGAGGAGGAGGAGGAGGAGGAGGAGGAGGAGGAGGAGGAGGAGGAGGAGGAGGGGGAGGGGGAGGAGGAGGAGGAGGAGAAGGAGGAGGAGGAGGAGGAGGAGGAGGAGGAGGAGGAGGAGGAGGAGGAAGATGAAATCCAGGATGACTGCCAGGTTCCTCCCGGCCCCCGACACAGCCCGGCAGTGGAGTCCGGCAGCGGCTCAAGGGCCCCATCAGTGAAGATCCGGCAGCGGCTCAGGGGCCCCATCGTGGAGATCTGCCGTGCCGGAGTGCAACAGCTGGGCGCTCGGAGGATATGTTGCCGTCGGTGGTATGCTGAACAGACGAGCCCTGCCGACGAGATGAGACCATAGCATCAAGTCGGACGTGTCCCCCTACAGGCGGATTTTGGAGGAAGAATGAACATAATAAATACCACGAAAACATTCAGAAATGACACAACATGCTAAAACATCGTCCCCAGACTATTTTTCACAATTTTTGAACATTCCTTCTGTAGAGGGACAGCATCACTCTGTGACCCGCTGAATGGATACGCGGAGTCCACCTGCGAGTGGCAAGAACATTGGGAGTGGAGACTGGAGCAAGGCGTCGGGTCCCGAGGGATACCCTTGCCGTGAAGGTGTGAGCGTGTGGTATAAGCTTTGCCTGGGCGTCTGACTAGAGACGTGGGAAGTGCGTCGTATTGACCTGGAAACGCGCCAAAGCTCGGTAGCTACCAGCTAAACGTGTAGTCGCTGCTACCAGCTAACTTTGTAGTCGTTGCAACCTGTGCATACCGAGAGTTGCGCTGTCTCGTGACTCGAGTGTTACATTTGCTCAGCTGCAAAGTATTTCGAACTATCTGCAAATAGCAGCCTGAGGTGCATAACGCTCTAAGCCTGTCAAGCACTATTGACGATTGAGGACTCCATGCGTGTTGAGTGAGATGGGAACTTGCGAATAATGGAAAATCAACAAGCGACCCCCCGCAAATGAAATCCGTCGGCCCCCGCTTGCCGGGGGTGAGCAGGCGTGTGAGACATTTGGCTGTCTCCCTCCCCTTTTCCCCCTCCCCTGGGGTCCAAAGTGTCTTGCTGGGGGGGGGAGACGAGCTCGTCAACACATCCCCGTGGCCTCCAGAGCCCCCCAAAAAAAACCTCAAGACAGCCCAACAGGGCACAGGCAGAGCGCCAAGACAGTCGAAGAGATCGTCATGACGGCCCAGGGTGGCCCCACGACGATCCAAGATAGATTCAAGATGTCACTCGAGGCCCCTAAGACAGCCCAAACGCGTATCCACAGGATCGCCGAGAGGGCCCCAAGAGGCAACAATCATCCCATTCCATCGGGAAACCGTACATGTGTTCAGCACGTTCGCATTTTACGTTTTGACAGCTGACGCGGCGGCCCAAGTGGCCAGCAAGATCGTTCCAAGACGGTCAGTAATGCCTCCAAGAAGGCCCCAGAGCGGCCCAAGAGCAGCCCAAGAGGGAGAATGCCTAATGACATTTCGAGCCTTTCCCACCAAGATGGCGCCTCGAGTCCCCCAAAGACCCCCGAGGCCCCTCCAAGAGGCCCCAGGAGGCCTCCAAGACGCCCCCCAGATGCCCCACGACGCTACAAAAAGCCCCCCAGATGCCCTCAAAAGCCCCCCAAGAGGACCCCGAGAAGCACCCCAAGAGCCCCTCAGATGCATCCCAAAGTCTCCTGACCCGAGACATAGCTTCCACGATCACTTCAAACACTCACTCGTTGTGGGGGTCGGCGAAATGGCGTAAGCCACTTGAATATGACAACACGCCCACATAGACAAGATACGTTCGCCTCTCGCGGCGATTCACAAGCGGACAGCTTTCGAGAAGGTTTGTCTACATGTGTCGGAGGGGCAGGCGAAGGCCGATGGAGAGGAGGGCGGGGGAGGACCCTGCTGCCGAGGAAGTCGTACTTGTCCGCAAGGAGATTCGTCATGAACATCGTCAGCGAAGCGCTGCCTCGGGGGCAGCCCCGTAAGCTGCCCAGCGGTGGGTGCAGCAGACGGAGGACAGAGTGCAACATGACCACGGGGACTGCGCTGGGAAGTCGAGGGAGGAGAAGGCACGAAGAGAGAACAGGGATACAAGTCAGTTTACACATATATATATATACATATATAGATATGTATTTATATGTGTGTATGTATATATACGCGCCTAGATGTACATATGCTCACAAACAGACAGATATAATAAGAAAGAGAGAGAGAGATAGAGACAGAAGTGAAATCAATAGTAGTAGAAGCCTAGAAGTATACGTATACAGCAGAAGGGGCGTGTGCTTATGGGCGAGAGGAGATTGCGCGGGAGGCGTTGCTCTCCTGATCCTCCTCCTCCTCCTCCTCCTCCTCCTCCTCCCCTCTTCCCTTTCCATCCTCCCTCCTCCCTCCCCCCCTCTCCGTCCTCTCCCTCTCGGTCATACTCCGTCCTCCTGCGTCTTCCTCCCTGCTCACCCTCGTCGTCGTCCTCGGGGGCCTCCTTCGGGAGGCGATTTGACGCCTCCGCGAGCGTGTCCCGAGCGGGCGCCCGGGATTGGGACACGCCTGAGACGCGCCCGGTGAGCCCTGGCGCGCCGGGGGTCGACTCTGGGAGGATGCCTCGAGCCAGAGCTAAGTCGGGCCTGTCCCCCTACAGGGGGATTTTCAACGAAAAATAAAGAATGCCCCCAAAATAATCCAAAAATAGTCTGGGGACTTTTTTTTGTATTTGTTTACCTTTTTGGGGCATTCTTGGGGTATTTTTTATTTTTCGTCGAAAATCCCCCTGTAGGGGGACACGCCCGACATAAAGCCAGAGCCCCGGCCTCCCTGGAGAGGCTCGGGGGGCTGGTTTTCCACGCGAGGGCGCCGGCTTGGAGCTCGTCGCCAGATGTCCCGGACACGGAGCAGGGGGGGCCTCTGCCGGAGGGCCTCCATGGGGAGGCTCGGGGGGCCGCTCTTCTGAAGATGTCCCGCGCGATGGCGCTGGTGTGGAGAGTGTTGTCGGATTTACGGGATGTCCTGGGTGTCCCAGAAACGGAACAGAGGGGGCGGTTGGCGGGCCCAGTCCTTCGCGCGCCCGGGGTCAAGATGAGGTGACTTGTACCGACAAGCTCACTCAAATAATTGGGACGCACGAGAAGGATGAAAGGGCCTTGGAAGGCCATGTCGACACTTTGCGAGCGGAGCGCGGCCAGCGAAAGTGGCCAAGGACGGGACGGAGGTGAAGGATGCAAGCAAGGGCAGCCTTGGAAACTTGCTCATCCTTCTGATGCAGGTTGACTGTATGCTGTATGTGAATAAGGAGGGAATCGGAATGTGATAGAAGAGGACAATGGGAGGACGGAGGGAGAGGGAGGTGAAACAGGGGAAACCCTGTGTCGTCTGCTGCAGGTTGCGAAAGCCCCGCCCTGCTCCTCTTTGCAATTACTCGCGTGGACCGCATTTCCCGCCTACACCTCCCGACATTCTCTGGGCGCCCAGAAGTCTCGGTACTAAACAGGTCGCCGCAAAACACCGGGCACCATCGGTATCGCCAATCGCTTCACCTCTGGGCGGCACATCGCCAAATTGAAGCGAAATCAACCGTCGGATCGCAAGATGGAGTATTGAGGACCACCGTGCTTGAGTACTTACTGCTCGGTCCCGAGCTTGGCCCCGAGCTGCTGCTGAAAGAAATGAAAAGAAATGGACACATGGGTAGGAGCATAAACAAACGGAAGAAAAGGGAAGATAATGTTCTGGAGGAGGGCCAGGAGTGGGACCGTGGATCGGAGGTGCGTGTGGACTACGAATACGGAGATGAAGAGGACCGCCGACCCCAGAGCAACTTGCTGCCTGGACATCTGGTGCCAGCTCCTACTCTCACTCCCAGTGGGAAAGGCATAAACTCGTTGAGCTCTGTAAGCCATGGGTTTGCTGAGCTCTGGTGCTATGTCTCTCGTGGCATCGGACGTCGAAGAAACGGCCAGTACATAATGAATGTGTGGAAATACGGCTGACAGAAACTCTACTTTACTTGAGCCGTTCTGAACGGATGCGATTCGGTGACGCGAATGCTGTGCTCCTTTGCTTTTGAACCAAACCCGCCGAACAAAATCGAGCGTTGATCATTTCAATCGGAAGGTCGGGCACTTCAAGCTATTCGTCCACCCTGACCTAGCTTAGGCATTACATAACTCCGCTCTGTCTTCTCTAGTTGACGAATCTAGAGAGCTCTTGGCTCAAGGCACACGGGGGGCACTTGTTCGCAAATCGTTTCTGATGTCCCGCCCGAGAGCTCCTGGGGTATTAATGAATTCCGTGGGAAATCGTCCCACGCGCGATCAATTCTAGTTGATACCCGTGTTGTTCCCCACAGCGGTGGGAACCCCCAGCCGGCCGGGTAGACAATCGCATATGTAAATTTCCCGTGGGCTCTAGCTTCGAACCCGGTGCTGAATCCGAGTTCCATCAAACAGACCCCCCCTTCGGGTCGAACAAAGAGGGGCGGTTAGCGAGTCAGCTCACGTACGGTAGGTTCGTGCAGCGTCGGCACCCGCAAAGGTCTTTGACACCGAATGGATCGTTCAACCTTGAATCGATCGCGATTCCGATCGTTCAAGGTTGCTTCCCGTCAGGTCTAGTGGCGTCACCGTGTCCATCAGAGCTGCCGCGTCGTGGAATTCAACCTTGAACGCATTCGTCGGCGTCGCCGGCGCGCCAACGTAGGTTCGTGCGGCGTTGACGCGCTGGCGACGCCAGCGAAGGCGTTAAAGGTTGAATTCTGCAACGCGGAAACACCAATGGACACGGTAACGCCACTGGACACGACGGAATTCAACCTGGGACGATCGGGGCCGTGATCGATTCAAGGTTGAACGATCGCCGCGGTGTGAAAAAACCTTTGCGCGCGCCGACGCCGCGCGAACCTACCGTATTTGGTTTTCCCGACGCCTCCAGGCGCCAGAGGCGCTGATGCATCGAAGAGGGCGCCCAGCGGCGAGCTCGAAGCTAGCTGCATGCAACAATTTCGCCCTCCCGATGCGACTCGATTGCCCACCGAACCCCGGCCTCCTCCTGCTTCACGTTGGGCGAGCTTGAGCTACAGTGCGGGCGCGGCCGCAAGAAACCCTCGAGAGAAACCCAACCCTAGAAACCCGCGCGCGAGGTGTACCTCAGGGGAAACCCAGAGCATCCTGAACGCAGCAGCGCCTTCAACGGCTGCGGAAAGTCACCGCGCGGCGCGCGGAGCGAAGAAACCCAGGGTACCCTGACGAAAAGCAAATGGTTTCTTGATGCGCGCCTCCACTGTAGGCTGGAGCGTCTTCTGGTGCGAAAATGCGACTTGGAGCAGTGATGTGTGAATCAGGCAACAGGCCCGTGCGGTACAGCCCGACCTAGGACAGAAGAACATCCTTCAAGAACATGAGACCCTCTGCCAGCCAAACTGAAGAACATTCGAGGGTATCCTTCCCCAGGATGAATAAGAACATCAAACAAATACGAAGATCATTAGGCTACCCTCCCCGAGCCGACCTCGATCTCGTGCCTCGGTCCGACCGTACAGGACGGGCAGAAAATACAAGCACCTCAGATGGCCCATGGAGGGCGCAAGGAAACGGTGCCTGTCGCCTGCCTGGCCTCCTCCACCTTCTCCACCGCCCTTCTACCGTGAGGGAGCGGTCGCAAGAAGCCCTCCAGGGAAACCCAGCCCTGAAAAGCGAGCAAGTGCGCGGCGCAAGTGTGGGGAACTCCAAGCACTCTGGGCGCAGCAGCTCCTTCAGCGGCTGCGGAAGTCACCGCGCAGCGCGCGGAGCAAAGAAACCCAGGGCACCCTGAGGATCAGCACTCGGTTTCTTGTTGCGCGTCCCTTCTGTGCTCCCCTAGCTTCTCTAGCGGTGAAGTCACCAGGCTCGCGGGGGGCAGCCAGGATCAAAGGGGAAACATTGGACTCGGCAAGTCCTTCCTCCTCCTCATCATCATCAACATCATCAGCATCACCACCATCATCATCCTTCTCCTCCTCATCACCAGCATGATACGAATCATCATCATCATCATCATCATCATCATCATCAGCATCAGCATCAGCATCAGCATCAGCATCATCATCATCATCATCATCATCATCATCATCATTATCATTATCATTATCATTATCAGCAGCATCATCATCATCATCATCATCATCATCATTATCATCATCATCATCATCATCATCAGCATCATCATCATCATCATTATCATTATCATTATCATCAGCAGCAGCATCATCATCATCATCACCATTACCATCATCATCATCATCATCATCATCATCATCATGGACATCACTGTCATCATCATCGTCAGCCAACTTGTCAGCACCATAATAATCATCATCGTCGTCGTCATCATCGTCATCGTCATCAGCATAATCATTATCAGCGCAATTATCACCATCATCAGCATCAGCATCAGCATAATCAGCATCATAAACATTACCACCACCATCATTATCAGCAACAGCAGCCCCACAACCATCAGAGCCAGCATTAGCATCAGCATCCCCATCAACACAATCATCGTCAACAACATCGGCATCAACACCATCGCCATTATCGCCATCATCGTCATCACCATCATCATCATCATAATCACCATCATCAGCAACATAATCAGCATCATCCTCATCCTCATCACCACTATCATCATCGCCATCTGCACCAGCAGCAGAACCAGCATCAGCATCAGCATACGCATCATCATAAGCACCATGAGTTTCACCACCACTATCATCACCAGCATCATCAGCACCATCACCTCCAGCGTCGTCGTCATAAGTTCCACCACCATCACCACTAGCATCACCATCATCAACATCATCGCGGTCACCATCATCGTCAGCCACATCATCAGCACCATAGTCAGCATCGTCGTCATCATCATCATCGTCATCATCATCATCGGCATCGTCATCTGCATCCTCATCATCATC